TATTACATAGAATCTGAAATACTATATATAGTAAGGGTGCTTTAAATAAAATAACAAAAAAAATGATGTGCATTATAGTTATGGAGGGTGTGGGTTAGCAAAGGAACAGGTTGTGCTGCAATTTGCAGGGAAATCAGGGCATTTTTTGGTTTGCTTTTCTGTAGCACTAAAACTTACCAGGGTGGATTTCTAATAATTAAAGAATATAAACCTTGAGATCAGTTGTTCATTGGAACAATCACAAAATTAACTATTGTTGACATAATAAAATATAAATTATAGGACTTTGTGGTTTGGTTTGAATGCACATAAGTGGTGTACATTGATTTATTTAAAATAATTTCCATTTATGTCATCCACAGACTAAGAAATCAATTTTAACCCTTTAATATCTTTGTGCCTATAGGGCTGGTATTTTTGTGAATTGAATTATTTTTCAATTAAATAATACATTTCATTTTTGATGTTTTCAGAAGGTGGTTTAGGAGATGGGATGGATGATGAAGTAGGCCCCAGTGACAGTGGATGGGAAGTTGAAGATTTGGATTTGCCAGCAGGTTTGGTATGTGGCTTAATGACTTTTTTAGCTTTGCTTTAGGGTCATCTACTATGTCTACATAGAGGGTGCAGAGGTCCAAAAAAGCCACTTTTGTTGTTTTGGGTGTGGGTGTTGAATTTGGGTCATGCAGTTAAACCTCTGTGTCATTATTGATAAAACTAGTAACTCTGCTGTAAGCAATTAATGAAGCAGAAATAGATGTCCTGAACCTGAATTGACCATACGATCTTATTAGGCTCAATATACAGCAAACAGTGTATTAAAAAACTGAATCTTTATGGCTCTACATTAGTTTTTTGGGTGATTGGGAAAGTAAAATCACTTAATAAATTTTTGGCTTTAAGTCTTAAATGGATGCATTTGCTCTAGTTTTTTAAAAAAGTGGATGCAATAGAACAGGGGTAGGTCAGGGGTATAAAATTCTAATAATTTACCTAATATCATCCTTCAATGAAGGTATTGTTGAGCACTGCTATACTCATCTAAATTCTCATGTATGTTAAAAATATCAGTCTAGTATTAAAATCATTCTTCATCTCACTCTTTCACCTGTAATTTTTCAATTTTTTGAGGTATCATGAGAATCCTACACTGTTATTATGATTATATATTAACTAAAAAAAGCATTGGGTAATGCAGAAATATATTTAATGTATTATGTAGGAAGAAGATATGGCTGCAACTGGTGCAGGAGAAGAAGGTTTTTTTGTACCACCTACAAAAGGGACTAGCCAAGCTCAGGTATGTGTTCCAAAAGAAAGTATTTTTAATGATTCGTAATTAGCTAACATGCTACTTTAACAAATAAACTGTCTAAAAACAGTCTGTTTTTTAGTAAAATTTTTAGAGATATTCAAGAAATAAAGAAACTTTTTCAATCACTGTATACCATCTAGAATTTGTTTTAGAGTAAAGTTGATATACATTATTTCTTATTACTTACTAGAGATTACTTTATTATAACATTTAAATATGCTTAAATCAATTAGGTATGGTGCAATAATTCTCAACTTCCAGTTGATCATGTACTTGCTGGATCTTTTGAAACTGCAATGAGGGTAAAATTTTAAGTTTTATTGTTCACTACCCATTATATTTGAATTATAGGTATATATATTTTTTAATGTTATTTCATTTTTTCATTGTCACAGCATTGGTAGTGTCGAATTCACAAATTATGAATTACTGATAAATAGGAATTAAACTAAATAGCGGGGTTAGCCTGTATACATTATTAGTCAACAAACAACATATTAAGAAAATTTCTTAGGGTGTCTTGATAAGTAGATCTAAACCAAATTTGAATGAAATTGTTCATTTCTTCATATTCTAAAATTGGAAGATGATGCCATTAGTGTTGTGTACTTTCCATAGTTTAAACATGTGACATCATTGCATTTTGCATTCTTGTCTCATCCATAAACACTTTTCCGGTTGCATAATTAAAAATGTTTTTCTACATTCAAATATTGCTTTATTTTTATTTTCCTTTTTAAAATGAAATTTAGTTTATACATTCAGTACATCCAACATTATTTTCAACTTAAGTCCTTATTATTAAGTATTCCATATACCGCTTGAGATACTGATCTCATTGCCTTGGAAAATATTTTGTAGAGAGAGAGAGAGATGTTTGCACATGGCCTTTTATAATATTGTTCATTATACCAGCTTTCTTTTAAAATAATGCATTGGCATACATTGACTATAGTTATAAGTAGCTCTAAAAGTTAAACTTATCTATAAACATTGTAATCTTCCAAGTCAGTTTGGGAGCTTTACCTTTGATGTGTTTTTGACTTATATACATTATATACAAAATATATACATTATATTTTGTAATTGAATAAGATAAATTAGTAAAGAATATAATCAAAAGGAAAATTTGTTTCTTTTCCATATTTATTTGATGATAGATTTAATATGTGGAACTTAAAACAAAGCCACACATGCTAAAAACCTGTACTTACATAGAAACATTTAAAAACTAAAACACATTTAATTATGCAATGACTTAATTTTCCAGCCTGCAGGAATGCTCTTTAAACATGGCATCCAATCTAACAAAACACAGATGTGCATTGAAAAGCTTGATTTGTTAAAACGTATAATTATATCTTGGCCATATGTTAGTTCTGTGAGTGTGAGGTTAAAAAAAATATTTCTTATAGAATATTCTTTACAGATCTTCCAATTTGGGAATATAAATAAATCACTTTTATTTCATTCTTTTTATGCTGATCAGAAAATTCTCTTAATTATTTACAAAAAAAAAAGAAATCAATAAAAATAAATTAGTTTTAAAAATATTAAAATATTATCAATTTTTAATAGAATATGCTGGACAGATGTTCCAATTTGACACTATGAAGAAATAAATAATTATTTATTTTAATAGCTTTTGAGGGTGCAGACATCTCAGAATTAACTGGTCTTATTCAAAATAGCCAACAGACTGTTTTACGATGGAGAACTGGGTTGTTCTATTTAAAATATGTTATGATATTCATTGCAAATAAATATTTATACTCTCCCCTATTAGTGTATCAAGTTTACTTATATATAAGTAGACTATATTACTTTGTATACATCATATACTCAATTTTTGTAGGCCTATTTATGGGCCTACACATTTCTCTATAGTTCCTTCTTATTGGTGCATATATTTTTACAAGTTTTTATGTGTTTTTTTTAAATGACTGCTTCTCAATGTGGCCTCAGGAAGTGATCATGTCTGTTAATGTTTTTATATGCTATTTTAATTTTCATTATGTTAAACTAAGAAATGGATTTTTGCTTTTCAATGTTTACTCAATATCTTTATTGTTTTCATATTTAAGCTCCTTCATGACCAAATTGGTGTTGTAAAATTTGAAGAATACAAGCAGCTATTTTTACTAACATTTAGTCGGTCCAGAACATGTTTTATTGGCCTGCCAACTGTTACACCCTTATTTGGATATCCTCATAGGAACTGGTATGATCACATTTATTGACTTTATTGGGTTTTTCACTTGGAAAAAAAGTTTAATTTAAAAGCTGTGTTTAAAAGCAGTTTTTTTTTTAATTTAAATATTAACTTTTTATTATCTAAAAAATTCAACTGTGTATTAGCTTTTGTATTTTCCAACTATAATCACCCAAATCTATTGTCATCTATTTAAATTTGTGTGTCTTAAATACTTTAAATTGGTTTAAAGGTATTAAAAATTGTTTCTATAAAAAAAATTCTCTATTTGAATTGTACATGATACAATGCATTAAGTAAAATTAAAAGCTTAACTTAAAACTTCTTTATTCCTACATAGGAAAGATGCTGGACCAAGAAGTGGTGTTCCCGCTGTTGGTCTCAAACTAGCTGCTCTAGTTCAGCAGTTACAAGTTGCTTATCAGTTAACCACTGCTGGAAAGTTTGGGGATGCTATTGACAAGTTCCGCTCAATTCTTCTAAGTGTACCACTCTTAGTTGTTGATTCAAAACAAGAAATTGCTGAGGTTTGTAAAAAATATGTTACTTTTTTTAAGTGAACAAAGAACTTTTTAACTCAAACAAAACCTAGAGCTTTTTTAATACAGTGCTACTTTGAATTTTGAGTGCCCTGACATACTAGATATGAGAAACCAGTAATCTGATTAGTGGGTTTAAAAGAAACACCGTGAAAAAGTTGCAGCTGATTGTGCATTGATGTATTAAATGACACATGCCTAGCTCATTTATAAAACATTCTGAAAGGGAGAAGAAAGCAAACCTTTTTGGACAGGCTTATTTTAACAGTCTGCATGGGAAAATGAGAAAAGCATGGCCAACAATGAGAAAAGCAGTGATGAAAACTATGCAAAAGTAACAAAACATATAGTAACATTTAGGTTCAATTATGTTCCATGAAGTTTACATAGCAGTAAGAGTGTAATGAGTAAGTGAATTAAAGTGACAGAAAGTGCTTTGCATTATAAGTATAAGTCAGTTAGTGAGGCTAGAGTAATGGCGGTTAAACTAAATTCAGTGGAGAAAATTACTTTGAGATGCGAACATTTTGATATATTAACAATGTTACAAAACAAATTAAACTCCTATCTTGAGGTTCCACTGTATTTCAATTTTTTAAATTCAGGATTCTGAAATCTTGAATACCATTTTTACACTTACAGACAGTAAATTCCCCTTTAGAACTTGTCCATGGGGCAAGTGAAATAGAGTTCACCTGTTTCCATGACCTCGGCATATGAAGGTATAATGTAGTCAGCTCTATGCCCAGCCACCTTTACTTTCCCTAACATAAGTCAGGTACCGATCAGAACTGGGTGGACTCATGGACATTATGAGGACTTGAACCCTGGACTTCACATCCATATACCGTAAAATACATTCATACATACATACATATATATGTTACGGTCAAAGCCCGCATTGGCTGGCTCTCTTGGCCAAAGCCGGAAGAACTAAGCACAAGAACGTATTTTGTACATTGGCCTGCCAATGCACGCACTGGCCGGGATGTCCTGGCCAATGTCATATCTAGACTAAGTTGTGATCACGTTTTTATTATTCTAGGTGCGGTTTTGTTGTAACATATTGTTTGGCTTTTGTTTGTATAGTAATCTATATGCAGTGCAACATGGACTTAAAGGACCGTCAGATCAAGAGACAGACATAGCAGATGGATGCCAAAATTAATAATCCAAATCCTAATGGAAAAGAATTTGTGAATCAAGTTATTTCTGAACTAAAGAACATGTGACATGAACTTAAACTAGTTCACAGAAAACCAAAGCATAGCCAAAGTCAATTTTCAGTAGAACGTGCCAACTAAGATATTCAAAACATGATGATGACAAGGATGCAGACAAATGAATCAGCTCATTGGGCTGAGAGTCTTAAATTCATTCAATTTATGAAAAACTGTAATTTTCATCAAGGAATCCAACAATCGCCATACGAAACCTTGTTTGGATGCAAAGCAAAAGTGAAACTTAGCACTTCAAATCTACCAAGAGAGGCTCTCGATAATTTAGCTACTGAGGAAGATCTTGAGAACATTGAACAAGAAATGGAGGTTGTCATAAATGCAACAACATCCTGAGCTAACACATCTGCTGTCGTGGTGCAATGTCCAGACCAGCTGCGTGACAAGAATAAGGCCAACAGATTCTGTGTAGTTTGTGAAAAATATTGTAGTGCAGCCCATTCTTGTGGATCCTGTGGCATCGATGTCCATGCAATATGCGGAATAGTCAATGAAGCAGATGAAATGTATGGAGTGAACAGTACTCGCAGAATATCTCACAATAAACAAGAAACCATGGACAACTGGTCTGAAGCTCATACTAGCTTGCAAACTCAAGGCGCTAAGATGCTAACAAAATTTAAACAAGCTGAAATGGGAGATACTGATTGCATCCGTATTCCAGATGTTGACAGAGATTGCGGTGATCCCCGATGCGTCATTGCAGTTGTCATGCACGTCGAGGGCGCTTTCTACAAGCTAGGAACTGAACATGGTGTATTTAAACAACTATATGCAAGAAGTGAGTTTTCAATTCTTCACGAAAAACTGCTCTCATTGTCGCCCATTGGCACTGAGGAAAATCACTACGAACTATCGCATCTTTACAATCATTGACCGTCGGCCAAGGCTACATTTACTGCAAAAGTGCGCAACAAATCGCTGCAAGAGTAAAAATAACAATGTAATTCTAAATAGTAATCAACAAAGACTTAATTTTTATAAACGTTACAGTATAAAAAAAGCAAAATCTGCTCATGGTCTTCAAATTCAGACTTTGACCGGTCGTCCCTAGCCAGATGATCTTCTAATTCGGACTGGCCGGTCCACCATGGCCAGTCCGCTGACTGGCCGGCCAAAGGCCAAAATGAATTAAAGTTTCGGACATGGCTGGTTAATGGGAGGCGATATTGGCCGACTTCGGGCTTTGACGATAGCATGTATAATTATATGTATATGTATATATATATATATATGGTCATCCATTAATGACGTCCACACTGAAAGGGGAGGGGGGATTTCTGAAAATATCTACTTTTGTGGACTGGAGAGGGGCTTATGTGGATGTCCACATGTTGAGTTTAACAAACAACGTAAACCAACATAAAACTCATATCCTGCATGTAAAAATTAAAGTTAAGATGACAATACCTGTGTAAAAAAAAACCAATCTCATTGTGTAATTAAAGGATTTATATTCTACACTGAGATCATCCATATCATCAGCAACCTCAAGATTTTAAACTATTTTTATCTCCTATGCCTGGCCAACATTACAAATCTTCACTAAAAAACCAGGACCCAACACTTAAAATGACATCAAGCCTAGCATACCTCTTAAAACTGTAAAAAATAATTTTAAAAAAGCATTTTTTTCTTAATTTTATAAACTACTTACATAACCAATTGAGGGAGAAATACAACAGTATACGTTATTCATAGCTGCGCAATTGGATCAAATTATACTTTAAGCCTTATTCTTCTGACAAAGCTATCTGTATAATGTGGTCGAGTAATTGCACTTCAGACGGGTCGTCAGGGGTTGAGGGTTCATAGTGTAGTTATAGTTTATCTAGTAGCGAGTTCTAGTCTATAAGTTAGTTAAGTATAAAATAAAAAAACTATTTTAATAGTCTATTAAAATCACTACATTTAGATAACAAGAAAAACAAAGTAATTATAGCACTATGGGCATGCACATCATCTACTGGCTAGATAGGCCAAACATAAAACCCATGTAGGCTATCAGTAAATATGCACACAGTATTGAAAGAGTATATTGGTAGTAAGTTTAGAGTGGTCTATTACATTTTTGTGGATGTCTGGGGGGGGGGGGGGGGGGTCTAAAATATTTTTAAAAAATTGTGGACATCATAAATGGATGACCCCATAGATATAAAAGTTTTAGCCTTAAGACTTGTTTTATCTAGTTAGGTTTGCCATTTTGTTTTAATGCTGCACTAATTTTTTCTGCTGTATGCTCTTTAAAATGATAAACAGATGTTTGAATATTGCCATTCTAAGTTGGTGTATTTTATGAGTAATAATACAGTTTGTTCAGTATTACTATTTCACAATTTAGTCTACAGTTTTAAACAAAGTGTAGAATAAACACTTTGAAAATGGTTTATAAAACCACATTTTTATTGTATGGTTGTTGATTGTTTTGAATTAATCTTCAACGACAAAAACATTTACCTAGATCTAAATGTTTAAGTTTAATAAATTTTAAATTTGCAAAGGAAGTAAAAATTTGATGCTTTTGAAAATAAAAAAAAAGGTAAATCTCTTTTTATTAATGCTTTTTGAAATTTAGGCTCAGCAACTCATTGAAATATGTAGAGAATACATTGTTGGCTTGAGTATGGAAAATGCAAGAAAGGAGCTGCCAAAATCCACACTAGAAGAGCAGAAAAGGCAATGTGAGGTAAATAAGGGAATGATTGTTTTTCTAAAATAGTTCTATTTAACAATCCTCTACAAGATTTGCAAGAATTATTTTTTCCCCCACCAGATGGCAGCTTATTTTACGCACTGTAACCTGCAGCCTGTTCATCTTATACTTACTCTAAGAACAGCCCTAAACTTATTTTTTAAGTTAAAAAACTACAAAACAGCTGCTTCTTTTGCTAGACGACTTCTGGAACTTGGACCTAAACCAGACATAGCACAACAGGTATTAATCAATTTTTTTCTCCAAAAAATTATTAACCTTCACTGTACGTCTGGATTTACCATACCAGCCTTGTACCCTCTATATATATAATTCTCTACATGGGGACCATGCGGGACAAGACGTATACGCATACCATTACTCCCTCGCCCTCCATGCATATTGTTACCACCCTCACCAATCTGATGAGCTTTGGTTCATAACGAATGTTTACAATCGTAGAGCTGGATTGAGTTAGTGACTGCTATTAGGGACGGATAATTTAGTATTAAACTATTTGAAACGAAGGGGGGGTAACAATATCTGCATTTTTGTCTGTAAGCGACTGCTTTCACTGGGAAGGTATCGAATTCACAAATTATGAATTGCCGATAAGCAGAAAATAAAACAACTAGATGGCGGCGTATGCTACGTTGCGGGTCAGCTCGTGTGAATATAATCCACCTGCATACTTTTTTATAGAAAAAAAATTAAGGCTCTTTATACTAAACCAATAAAATGTGTACAACACTACCACTAACACATCCTTATCTTACCAGCAAGCTTCATTGTCTTCCATCAACGAAATCATGGAGGGGATTGGTTTTTTTTATCGACAAATGACCATGAGTAATGCAGTGGAAATAAAGCGGGAGTGATCTCCCCTAAACTTTCTCGAATATTCTTATATAGCATTACGGGGGATGGCAATTCGGGATATAGACATGATTTCTAATCAATTTTTAATTACTTAAAACTTTTTAAATAGAAAAGAATCTCGTAGAAAAAAAGTAACGCCAAACAATCTGTGTATAATAGTACGAAATATTATTAGCTTTATTCATTCATAAGCGTTTTTTTTTTAGAAATCGGAAATAGCGTAAATTACTACTTCTGGTCAACGGAAATTACTCAAAACTTGACAGAAAGCAGAAAATTAGACCTTTTACTTCTATATGAAATTTCGCTTATCTAACTGAAACAGTACTCAAGTTATGGGCTTTTGAAAAACTAAACGTAGAAGTCCCACTTCCGTTTATTGGAAATCTCTGAAAAGTTGAAACAGATCTACAAATTTGATATTATACCTATATATGAAATGTCATCAACCTAGTTGTAACGGTTCTCAAGTTATCATGTTCACAGACATACACACGCACGGACAGAATTGCAAAACCCAGTTTTTCCGACTCAAATACGCATAAAACTCCAAAATTTTGATAAAATTGGATTTATAATTTTTGCCTGATTAAAGTGAGTCCCCTATACTCTGTATGTGATGAAGTACTGCGGTGTAAAATGGTGAAAAGTTTCAAAATTTCACATGATTTTTTTGTGTGCACGATTACAATACTTCCTCTATACTCTGTATACGAGAAGGTAAAAAGGGGCAAAAATAGCCTAAAGTAGTGCCACCAAATCTTCCTTTTTACTTTCTCGTATATACGAAGTCTAAAGTATTGTAATCGTGCAAAAAAAAAAATCGAGATTTTTACAAATCTCGACGTTTTACACCTCACTGATACGGAAAAACATAATTTTGCAATCTTGTCTGTGTGTGTCTGTGTGTAGACACGATAACTTGAGTACTGTTACAGCTAGGTTGATGAAATTTCATATATAAGTATTTTATCAAAATTGTAGATCCGTATCAATTTTTGAGCGATTTCCGATAATCGGAAGTGGTACTTTTTCTACTTTGACTTTTTCAAAAGCCTATAACTTTAGTACTATTTCAGATAGATAAATGAAATTTCACATGTAAGTAAAAGATTTAATTCTCTACCTTCTGTCAAATTTTGAGTAATTTCCGTTGACCGGAAGTACTAATTTACGCTATTTCTGATTTCTCAAAAAACGCACGTAAATTTATAAAGTACTAATAATATCCCGCACTATTATGCACATTTTATTAGGCGTTCACTTGGTGTGCAATTCTTTTTTTTTACGAGATTCCATTCTATTATGTCCTGAGTTACCATCCCTCGTAGTTTTATATAAGAATATCCGAGAAAGTTTTGGGGAGATCACTCCCGGTTTATTTTTTATGTTTTTTCCAGCTATGTGTATGAGAATACCCCTTGGGAGGTTTCTGCGAAAAAATTTTAAAAAAATTCGCATGGGTAGCGCCTTGGCTGTGATTTGATTTTTTCTCTATGTACAATATCTATATACTACTAAAACTCAAGTTTTTTTTTTATATATTTGAATGTTTATTGTTTTGTTTTTTTGTTTCTCTGTTTGGTTACAGGAGAGAATCTGCACTATGTGTAGAGCTGTAAAATACGTAATTAGGTAGAGAACAATGTTCTTTTAGACCAAACTGTTAATCACAAATTAATTTAAAGACGTTAATTAATTTATTGATATATTCATTGGTATATAAACCACATTAATTATAAAAGTTCAGAACAATGGCTTTACTTATAATGACGTCACATAATTTATTTACTTTTTATAATAATAATGGCAGCTTCCATCGAAGATTTTGTTGCCCATTCAAAAGTTGAATGCATTATAAAACTAATTTTCTGTCAGCTATATTGCTGGTAAGCAGGTCACCAACCAGTTATATGGCTCATACAGGTTTTATTGATCCATAGATATTTGAGATATGTGGGTTGGTTGTATTTGTATGGTAGGTAACACACTTATAATAATATTTAGTCTGGTATTTAGGTTTTAATTCCGATAGGCCCATATAATAGAATTAAGCATACGCCACTATTTAGTTTAATTCCTATTTTTCTGTAATTCATGATTGGTGACTTCGACACTACCAATGCTGTGACTGAAAATATTTTGCTACAAAACACTATCCGTAGCTAGTGAAGGACGATTATCCTCACCCTCACTTTCCACTCCTCTGTAATATGATTTGTTGTCCTCAACTCGTCGCAACATAGTTCAGCCACCTTTACGGCCCACATGTATCACCCTCATTACATCACAAAGCATAGGATCCAGCCAATAAGCTGACACAGTACAAAGATTGCTGTTTAAGCAAAACTTCAACAATATACACTGTGGTCTGGGTAAGCTGACAGACAACAAAAAAAGCCACAAAACAAAACAATGTGCCTACATTTCTTTTATGATTAATTTTCTAATAGGTATTAAAATAAATCATGTATCAAAATTTGAGTTGTAAATTATCTTTTGTACTTTTACTTATTCACTATTGTGAAGTCGGATTGTTATTAAAAATCATAATGCTTTTACAGTTTATAAATTTGTTACTAAAGACACCACCCAGATTTATACACATTCACCATTTTACTCTCTACAAGAAAATCATAATAATCTTTACAATGCTAAAACTTTCAGAATATAGTCCCTTGATTTAACAGTTTACTTTAGAAACCATATGCTGAAAGTAAAAGTTCTTTTGATAGTTTAAAAGTTCATTTAATAATTGTTTTTTGTTCTTTTTTTTGTCATGTGGTGTTTTCTACTAATGACCTACTAACACTATAGTAAGCCAGTTCCCTTTTTCAACCTAACGGTCCATGGAGCAGGTGAAGTCGAGCTCATCTGTTTCTATTACCTCAGCATATAAAAGGACAGTGTGGTCAGCACTATGCCTGACCTACTTACCTCACTAATTTTTAACTGTCTGTAATTATTAGTATTTAAGACAGATAATCCATTTTGTACCTTGGGTAAATGAGGCATAATTGAGGCTCAATATATCAGGCCAAATAGTTTGACTATGGATATATTTAGACATGAAAATTGGTGGATTAAACCCATACAGTGAATGTAAAGCCTAAATCATACACAGCACACATTTTTTTTTCACCATATAATTTGGCTTTTTTTAAAATTTAATTTAAAAACATTTATAAGTTTATAAATAATATTTGTAAATAAATTGCATTAGACCCGGAAGATCTTAGCTGCCTGTGAAAAGAATCCAGCTGATGAACAAGATTTAAAATATGATCAACACAATCCATTTGATATTTGTGCAGCATCTTTTGTTCCTATCTATAGGTAAGTTAATTATTTTTTAAATTTAAATGGTATATTCCTTTGAATTTTTAAATCTATTGCACAAAACATGGTTTCTTTTTTTTTAAACAAAAATTAAACTGCATAATAATATCTCATAAAAAAACTGAGCTTTTTTTTTGTTTTCAGAGGTAAACCAGTTGTTAAATGTCCTCTTAGTGGTGCTTGCTATTGCCCAGAATACAAGGGCCAAGTGTGTAGAGTGACAAAGGTATACAATTCAATAAATCATTTTTTCATTTCTATTACTTATTGGATTTTGTTTCAACATAATTGGTTTTTGAATTCATGAACTATTTCTGTAATTGCAAAACATGAATATGGGTATGCAAATATTGCTCAGAATAGATTTAAATCTTTCTTTTTTCCGGATCACTCCTAATTTCTATGAAAATTTAAGTGTCATAGTAACTATGTAGAATCAGAACTGCTCATCAGTTTAAAAATGTGGTCGCCATAATCAGTAAGTATTTAATATGATGGCTGTAAATGAATGGTGGATAAGTAATAATTTTTTTTAGTTGTTTTGATATTTATTCTTGGCCTTTTTCAGCTCCCAGTGGAGCAAAGGCCATTTCAAACGTCCTTTTATTTCTTTCTGTTCTTAGCTAGTTTTTTTCCATTTCTAAGACATGCCAATAATTTGTATGTAGTTTTCAATTTCACTGCACCTGGTATTTTTGAGTCCTTTCTTGTTTTTGATCCTTTGTCATTCCATGATTGCTGTAGTTGTATGGCATCTCCGCCAATTTTTATTGTTGCGATTCTTGTTCTATTTGAATTTGTCCTGTCTTTTCCCATTCTATGAGGTACTAATTTTTCAAAACTAAAAAATGAAGTCCTTCCCTTAAATATATTGATGAAATAAATGAAGCAGGATAAGTTGTTCTAAATTGCTCTAAACCATTTGTTATTAACCTTAGTTTGATCAAACCTTGTTTAAGAACCACTGATACAGAGCTTGGAAAAAAATGTACTGGCAAAAAAAAAGATTAACTGAATGCCATAATTTAATGTATAGTACAGTATAGTTTCATTTTTACCTACAAATTATTAATTAGATGTATATCCTGTAGAAATTTTTTTTTTCTTTTCTAGGTGACAGAGATTGGTAAGGATTGCATAGGACTCCGCATCAGTCAGATTCAGTTCCGCTAGTTATTATTCTGATTCAATATTTTTCTTTTCTTTTTCCAATTGATAATTTAAAATGTAAGCATTAAAAAGGTATTTTAAAAACTTAATAAATCATAAATGCTATGTATCAATTGAATGTGTTTATTAATAGATATTACATACAATTTATTACATACTTAATATTTAAAAATGTGTTTATTAATAGATATTACATAAAATTTATTACATACTTAATATTTAAAAAAAGAAAAGAGTTGAAAATTCAGCAAAGTATAAGGTTAAAAAAAAACAATTAACAATGCAAATCTACATTATGCACCAGCATCAAGATGTAAACTATTATTGATTGTTTTTCATTTTAAAAAACTAAGCATTTGTTCATCAAGGCTTAAACTTCTCTGCCATACTATCTCAATAAGCTGACCTGATACATCAGAGTCATTCTGAAAAATAAATTTGAAATGTTAAAATTATCTTTGAAAAGACTATATATTGAAAACGAATAGTCCTTTTAGTACATAGTAATATAAATAAGATTCTAATTCTATATACTCCGTGCCAAAAAGGATAGAGCTTATTCCAGTACTAAAAAAATGAAACCTTGATTTGTTTATTTGTATTTTATTAGTGTTTAATCTACAGATACTCACCTTGCAGATTACACCGACTATTATGGGATTTATTTTGTATATCATGTCTAGCTGTCTTTTTATTGCTTTAACTGTTTTTTGTAGACAGTATTGCCAGTCTAAAACTGGCTGTGGAAAACAATTAAACTGATCTTCACTTTTCTTTTGATTTTCAAAACTTTCATTGCTTGATTGTTGATCTGAGCGTTTAAACGTAGCATCAGGTTGTTGATCAAATACAAACACCATCACCATAAGCAATCTAAGTTTTACAGGTGAGGATGATCTAATGTAGCCTTTTGCTACTGTGGATGTTATCTCAACTAAATTAATATTTGTTGGATCAGTATATACAACATAGGTGTTTGCTGGAGTTTTTTCACAATCTGAAAGCTGATGAGTGAAAAGAAGATTCAGGCAGATAAAGATAATAATTCATTCCATAAGAATTGCTTTTTATGTTTTAAATATTTTAATTCACTGCGCTTAGCAACTAGATCTATAGCCCATATTATGAGTGCTTCTAGGCAGTGACACCTGTTATGGGCTGGTATTACAAATCTTTACCTATACATATCAAATATGTAGACCTATATATAATCGAATATATATAAGCAGTCAATCAGTGCAGCAGTGGTGTAAGCCTACAAATATATACTTATATATAATCATATGGGTGCCCTGTCAAAACGGCCCGGGACAAATCGGCCCTGTCAAAACGGCACCGTTAACGCTCAACAAGCGATTGATTGGTTTATGCCTCATTTTTGTCATATGACTTTGAGATCATTAAAATGGTAAAAAAATGTTTTATTTCAAGCACAATATTATTTTTTATCAAAAGAAATGATGAATTAATCATAATCTGTAAAAAATATTATTCTTGAACTTATTATATATTTTTCGAGTTCAAAAATTAATGCTATCGCGCGATCGGCGAGACGCCGCCATCTTGCTGACTTTGCAGTACTTCTAATTAAATTAAAATAGATGATTTTCATGATCTTCAATTGATAAATAACGTGAACTTATGTGATAACTACATCCACAAACAATTTCCTTCTTTTTGTAAACATATAGTACCGCATACACTTATCGACACTTAACTTTTATTCTTTTAATTTTTTTAAATCAATACAATAATTTAAAAACTTTATACTAATCTGATATACTATGCATGGTTTATAGAAAGGTTTGAAAATAATGGTGGATTATAATCCAAAGAAACAAGTGATCACAAACCTAATAATAAAGTATGTAAAAGAATCACTAATACAAGTGGTCTCTTTTAGAATAAACTGAGCATAGTCTAAACAAGATAGCTGAGGTGGTAAGGGCATGTCGCTTGAAGCAATGGCCTATCCAAAACAATGCAAGGAGGGAGTAAGCTAAGTCATCACTGGATGGATGACATCAAACACTGGACTGTATTGTCTGATTCAGAACTACTCACGGCAGAAGAGATTATGAAGGCCATCTCCCAGATGAAGAATGGAAAGGCAGCTGGACCTAATGACATCCCAGCAGAAGCATTAAAAGCAGATCTGTAAGCATCAATAGAGATGTTACACCCACTCTTTGAGAGATAAGGGAGAAGAAAATACCAATCGACTGGAAGTAGGGGTGTCAAACTGATATTTTAAAATGGTCCCAGATCTTTTTTGAAAGTTGCTATGTCAAGAACTATGATTCTAAGATATTGGGCACTAAATTTGTTCATATATCTCAAGTAGTAAAAAAGTTGTGACGGTTTAAAAAGTTGGTTTTTAACTCTTTTTTTTTCAAAACCCTAAAAGGTGCCATGTTTTTGAGTTTATATCTATAAAAGTATGTCACAAACACCATCTTTTGAACTTAACACAAACACATACACAGAGAAAAGACTCAATTTTTTTTCAAAGCTCAAAAATAAGTACATCATTTAAATTAATTGCATTGAAATTGGCTTTTCTCACATTTTAGTAAAATTAATAAGGGAAGTAAAAAATGCAAATTTTGTACATTTATAAGACATCACCAAAAAATGTCTGATGAAAGAGCATGCTTGATACGTGTATCAAAATTCTTTGAATTTAAGTAACATATATGCCTATAACAAGTATGTTTGAAACACGTTTAATCAGAAGAGAGCAGGGGTTCACAATCTGTCTGAAATGAGTCTATTTAAAAAGTTTAAAAAAAAAAATTATGACACCTACAGTAGATCTGGGTACATAGAAAGAAAGAATAACCATAGCTCTTAACAGGTTGGCTAAACAGTCTTTGTATCTGTGACTAATTTACATACGATCCAATGGTGACTGGAACAGTGCTAGGGTCACATAAAGTATAAAGAAAATATTTTTTGTTGAAATAATTATTAGAACCACTTGTAGTAGTACATTTAAAAGTAAGAGCATTTATTTAAAAAGCCTCAGTCGATGGATCTTTATGTTATTAATATGTATTTATACATAGCTGGTTCTACAATTATTGCAATATGGTAGAGCTACACCAAAACACACTTGCTTATTAAATACAAGTAGGCCTACGTAGTTTAAATAGATAATCATGCTTGTCTTGCATTCTCACCCTTAGTATATTAACAGTCATTCTTCACCAGATTTTCTTCCAGGCATCTCTTATATATAGAAAATATATACTTTTAACCAGTTTAGTTCATCGGACAAAGCTGAAAAATTACGTGGAAGTCTAATCATTGAACGGAGTAATAGCTTTAATGATACATGTTTTTATTTTTTTACTGAACCATCAAGCTTCTAAAACTTACTAACAACAATTTAGAAAAGCCAGAGAGGGGTCAAAATACATTATTCCATTGCCGGTGAAAAATCATCTCGGTGATAGTTTTCAATTGGTAAATGAGATATATTATGTAATATCAACAACTATAAAAATTATGCATATTTAGAGGGCTTAAAATCAACTTCTTTTTAATGGTACCAAGCTTATTATTATATGTGCACTTTTCATTATAGAAACTAAAACTATGAAGTAAAAAGCTACTACAAAAACTGGCAAAAGCAGCATTTTTTACAGCACTTTGACACTTGATAAGGTGACCTCAGGAACTGTAACAACTAAAAGGGAATCAACTCTGCTCTCAGTACCTGGGAAAGTTTTTATAGGTTCCTCATGAATAGGATGAGGAATGCCCTTGACTCAGAGCTAAGAGACAAGTAAGCAGGATTTTGACAGAATAGATCCGGCACGAATCAGAATTCAACACTCTGCGTTATAATTTAGCAGTTAATAGAGTGAAACTCACCACTATTAATTGCATTGATCATGAAAAATCTTTTGCAGTGTTTCTGCAGCAATATTTACTTCATCTCCTCAGACAGCCAAATTAACTGATGTTGTGACTGGGCCTTACTTGTTAGCTGTTAGTATTGAAAATGAGCCCCCTGAGCACCCCATGACCACCATCACAAGGGACACAGGTTACTAGTATCAATGACTTAATTTAAAAATTTATATCCACACAAATGTTTACTGACCTTTAATTGGTAACTTTTCAATTTTTGTTTGATTTCATCTTCAAATCTTTGAAGATCTTTTGCAGATTTATTAAGGATAGACACTGAAGTTAACTTCTCTGAAAAAAAAAAGTATACATTTAGAAGCCATTTAAAAATTACATTGGAATGTATGGCAGTGAAAAGAAAAAAATTGTGACGTTTTGTTGGTGTGATGTGACAGATTTTTATTAAATAGGCCTATGCGGTCATTTTAATGTTAAACTCATCAACAAGAACCCAATTCAACCTCCAACCCCATCTAAAAAAGTACAGAGGTACCTAGAGTGGTACCTAGAGATATGTGTTGAATTTCTTCGTAGCATTGCTCGTATGTCAAATAGCTAGTATATCAAAGCTATTTTCTCTATTGAATTTCCATTAATCTGTTCCTGCCCACAAAATGCCTACCAAGTAGTTGTTGTCGTTTTTTAAACAGAAAAGTGTACTTATACATGAAAAGTATTGTTTAATCACATGATGAGGGATAATGCTAAGAAATAAACTGGTTTTATAAAGCATGGTGACAATGATGCTGGTAGAGGTGTGTGTCGAGTGTGGAGTGGAGGAGATAAGTGGTGGATCTTCACTTCGTTCACTTACTCACTGCTAATAGTAATACTAAGCTGCTTCAGTCACTTTAATTCACATACTCATTATATTTATACTTTTATATCCCTAAACTTAAACCACTGCTTTTCTCTTTGCTGGCCTTTGCTTTTTTCCTTACTTTCCCCACTTTTCCACGCAGGTTGTTAAAATAATCTTGTCCAAAGAGGGTTTTTTTCCCTCCCTTTCAGAATAAATCGGAAATGAGCTAAGTAAGAGTCATTAAATAGCTCCAATGCACTATCAGTTGAAACTTTTTTGGTAAGTTTTATTTCCACAAACTGTTAAACCCGCTAATTCAGTTTCACATCTTAAATTTTCCTATTATGCCAGAGCAAATTTTAGCTTGATCGACAGCTTGTATCTAAAAAATCATGCATGTCAGGACACTTGTATGTCGAGGTACCACTGTATTCCATTTCTGAACATTTCCCTCAGTGTGGACATCATAAATGATATGAATGAAGCATTGATTGCATTCATTGACAAAACACACAAAAAGAACATATGGTATACCTTTTAGCACAGACTCTAGTGTAAAAAGATCTTGTTTGTACGTCACCTATAATTAAAAAAATATGCTTAAACTTTCATTGTTTCTGTAAGACTAGAAAGAAAAAAGATTGGTGACCAGGAAAAACCCTGGTTTGACCCAACAACCTAATTGTTTTAAAGATGCAAAACAAACATTGGAAAAATTGTATGTTTTTTACTTTATACAAAGTATGAAATATTGTAATCGTGCAAAACGTACCTCCCTGAGTCGGAAAAACATAGTTCTGCGATCTTGTCCGTATGTCTGTGTGTGTGTATGTGTGTGTGTGTAAACATGATAACTTGAGTACCGTTGCAGCTAGGTTGTTAAAATTTTATATATAAGTATTATATCAAATTTGTAGATCCGTATCAACTTTCCAGCGATTTCCGGAGGTGGAACTTTTTCTACTTTCAATTTTTCAAAAGCCTATAACTTGAGTACTATTTCAGATAGATAAATGAAATTTCACATATAAGTAAAAGATCTAATTCTCTGCCTTCTATCAAATTTTGAGTAACTTCCATCGAACGGAAGTAGTAATTTAGGCTATTTCTGATTTCTCATAAAACACATGTGTATTTATAAAGTACTAATAATATTCCGCACTATTATACACATTTTATTTGGCGTTCACTTGGTGTGCAATTCTTTGACCCAACAACCTAATTGTTTTAAAGATGAAAAACAAACATTGGAAAAGAGCCACCATTACTACAAGAAGGATAAGGGTTAGTCTAGTCCCAATAGTTGCCTTTTGCATGTACTTAAATATTAGTTGAGTTGCAAAATTAAATAAAGACAGAGAGAGAGAAACTGCAGTTGTAGTAGCTTTAAAAACATGGTGAGTTAAAATACTAGCAGATAAATTAGGCTAAACCTAGACTAAAATGCATGCAAGTTTAACGGTAAAGAAACCAGGTTTGAAGGTATACAACATTTTAGATTACTTTCCCAAATATTTTTGCTAAAAACTTAACTGAAAATATCAGCTGAAAATTTGCACTAGAAACTCCGAACTGACATTTCATTTTAAATTTTTCCCAAAGTTTTCAAAAGTTTAAAATTAGCAACAGTCTGCAAAAATAGAAAATCTTTTTTAAATAATTAGGAGAAATTGAAATTATCATAGGAAAATTGTAGCTCATATTCATATGGAATAATCAGATTTATGCTAAAAATCACAACACTTCTTAATACTGACAGGTTATATTTGTCTTTTATGCATTACTACACCTTTCATCCAATCGGCATGAAACTTTGGGAAGTTGTTGAGAATACTCCTGGGGAGGTTCCTGCGAAAAAAACTGTTTCAAATTCGCAGGGGTGGCACCTCAGTAGGGCACGATTTGGTTCTTCCCTATATACGGTATATCAAAATAAAAGAAGACTGCAATTTGACACTGTTTATCTGAACACTATGAAATTTTGGGGCGTTTCAGCAGATTTATAATATGCATAGAATTTTAATTATAAAATTAAGTAAAAAATAATAAACAAAAACAAATCTGTTGATTTTAAAAAAATGTAAAAAGCAAGTTAAGAATTTAAAAAGGCATACATTTTTAGACATATATGTATCAAAGAAACTTAAGTTTCTGAATTAAGCACTATTTAAAATGATTTAAGTTACTTGACAAACTGAATAAGCCAATTATTATATAGGATGACACCTATGATGATATACCTATTTATTGAAAACTACAGATGTAATTTTTACCTAAACTGGAGGCAGTTAATGAGAGGTCTAATTTGTAATTGATAAGCTAATCTTAAATGTATGAAGACAAATGCCATTTTAGATTCCATGTATGGTGAGGTATGGGGCAAATATTAAGATACAAATTAAAATAAACGAGCCGGCCCGCGGCATAACATACGCCGCTATTTAGTTGTTTCTAATTTTCAATAATTCATAATTTGTGAATTCGACAGTACCAACGCTGACACTGAAAATATTTCTTTAAAACACTATAAGTAGCTCGTTAAGGACCATAACCACCCCCCCCTCCCCCCCCCCCCTACGTTTAAAATCGTTGGCTCTGCTTGTAAACATTTAGAGTGAACACAGCTCACTAAAACCATGTAGGGGTGGGGAGGTAGGGAGAGCGTTTGCAGCTTGTTTTCTAACGGCTCGAAGAGGAGAATTATATATATAGATAGTTAGAGGTCAGCTTAAGTACCAAAGTACTCAAAAGTTATATGTAAAAAAAAATGTAATATGAAGGGAAATGGGCTGTTGGAATTGTCTGAATCTAAATTGGAAGAAGCAGACTCTACTAAGGCAAAGCAACAAATTAAAAGAGATGAGAGAGCTGCAGACAGAGTGCAAGCTAAGGTGAAACTTCAATCAGATAAGATGCTAAAATTGAAGGAGTTGGAACAAATGATTGAGGAGAAGAAATGTACTAGGAAGGGAGATCTAAAAGGCAGAAGTTAGGTGCAGACTCCAAGCATTAAATTAATAGCACAGAGAACTGTAGGGAAGACACATATGGATATGGTGGTTGATATTTTTTAAAGAAGGGCTCAGAAAATAGGATAAGAAGAAAACTTTTCATGCCAAAAGTGTAGAACAGTTCTGATTGATAGAGACTGTAAGTCATGGCTGACAGAACTGGTAACTCCAGAAAATTATAGGCAGTGAAACTGAAAGGGGAGGTTATAAAACACTTTGGACAGCTAGAGCAGGGGTTCAGCAAAAAGTGTAATAGCAGCTGACCATTAGGACATGAAACAGCTGAAAGTTCTTCAACCCAACAGAGGAAAAGACGTGGCGGCATACCCTCCATCAAACCCAAGGACAGCAACAGACACAGAAAAATGGCTTGCAAAAGTTATTTCAACATCTACCCCAGCAGGAAATAAATGCTGACTGGTACACCAGAAAACAAAATAGTTGCCCCATATATCATTAAGACAAAGATCTAAGGGTCCACCTAGAGATGGTACAAGCAAAACAAAGCCGTACGTCACAATACGTCATCAGGAGTGGACAGGGCCATGCTCAACCTCCCTTGCAAAAATTTCTATCAACTTTTGAACTATTTCCGTTAACTGGAAGAGACACTTTATTTCTGTGGGTACACTTGAATACTATTTCAGTTAGCTAGACTAAATTTCAAATACAAGTAATTCATCTTATGCTTGAACTACTATCGCTTTTTTGATAATTTCTGGCTTTTATTTAACTTGATTCCTCATTCTGTCTATGGTCTACCAAGTGCGGAAATTTTCTAGCAAAATTTTGACCATTTTCTACACTTTTCAAATAGGTCAAGACTCAAATTACAATGCAATGTGACACAAAATGTGACTTAACTAGATATTTAACATAAAAAATGTATTAATGCCTCCCTTATAAAGTACTAATTTTCTGCTCTATTAAACATACATTGTTTGCATTCATTTTGAGTGGAATTCTTTTGTTTCTCTCAAACTTTCGTATTTCTATAGCCCAGTTGCACTGGAAGTACTATCCCAAACCTCATTGTTATATAAGAATATAAAAGAAATTTTAGGGGAAATCACTCCCACTTTACTTACAAAAATAGTTAGTTGAAGGAAAATTGTTTCTGGGGGGAAATTGTTTCATTTTCCTCAAACGGGAAAAGCAAATTTCCTAATAAATTCAGAAAAACTAAATCTTTGTTTCATTGCTTAACCAATAACTTTATAAACTAAAAGTTTTTAATTTGCTTAGTACAAAAATAAATATAATACATAATTATGATAATAAATATGGAGCCACTGATCAAAAAATATTTACCATTATGATTTTCACTGAGTAAATTTTGAAAAATGTAATCGATATATTTTAAAATAATTGTCATAGTTATATATTATAGCAGCTTCATGCTGAGATGATCGTCTGTCACACTCTAAATTGAGCTTCTTGAGAAATTCCACAAAAAAATTGCTTTTCTTCAAAAACAATTTTAGCATTGGAAGCCAGATAATTAATTTATTGATGGACCTGCTTACTGACAATAAGATTTAGCATGATGAGCAATGTTTTTTTAATCTCTAGTTTAGGTGTTACAGATCACTAATTTTGTGGCAAGATGATAGACAATACAACAATAATAAAGCGGGAGTGATCTCCCCTAAACTTTCTCGAATATTCTTATATAACACTATGGGGGATGGCAACTCAGGATATAGACAATTTTAAATCAATTTTTAATTACTTAAACTTTTTTAAATAGAATAGAATCTTGTAGAAAAAAAGAACTGCGCACCAAGTGAACGCCAAACAATCTGTGTATAATAGAGCGGAATATTTTTTAGTACTTTATAAGTTTTTTGAAAAATCGGAAATAGCGTAAATTACCACTTTCGGTCAACAGAAATTACTCAAAATTTGATTGAAGGCAGAGAATTAGATCTTTTACTTACATGTGAAATTTAAGTTCATTTATCTATCTGAAATAGTACTCAAGTTATAGGCATTAGACAAATTGAATGTAGAATAAGTTCCACTTCCGGTTATCAGAAATCGCTGAAAAGTTGATACAGAACTACAAATTTTATATAATACTTATATATGAAATTTCATCAACCTAGCTGTAACGGTACTCAAGTTATCGTGTTTACAGACACACACACACAGACGTACGTACAGACAGAAATATAGAGTCAAGTTTTTCAGACTCTGAGATTTTGATAAATCTTCTTTATTATTTTTGCCAGATTAAAATAAGTCCCCTATATTCCGTATATGATGAAGTACTGAGGTGTAAAATGATGAAAACTATCAAAATTTCATGTGATTTTTGTGCACGATTACAATACTTCCTTTATATTCTGTATATGAGAAAGTGAAAATGAAGAATAATAAAAACATAAAACAAGGCAAACCTTCCATAATTCATCTGTACCTTCAAGCAAGAGAGCTCTACAAGATGTATATTTCATAACAAGCAGCAAGCATTCTGTGCCAAAATTCAAATCTTCCGTTGAACTCTTTAAAAAAGTTAGATATCAAAGAGTATAAAATGGAATAATGTAAAGTTTTAACACCATAACAATTATAACAGCTCATTTTTTAAGAATCCAATTCTAATATATCCTCCCCAAACTTTTAATAATAGTCTTTTACACTGTTAAATCAAATCAGAAAAAAAAATGTAAACACACACAAACACACATATATGTATGTATATATATATATGTATGTATGTATGTATATATATATATATATATGTATATATATATATGTATATATATATGTATGTATATATATATATATATGTATGTATATATATGTATATATATATGTATGTATATATATGTATGTATATATATGTATGTATATATTTATGTATGTATGTATGTATACATGTATGTATATATATTTATGTATGTATATATATTTATGTATATATATTTATGTATATATATATTTATGTATATATGTATGTATATATGTATGTATATATGTATGTATATATGTATGTATATATGTATGTATATATGTATGTATATATATATGTATATATATATGTATATATATATATATATATATATATATATATATATATATATATATATAAATATATATATTTATATATATATATATATATATGTATATATATATATGTATATATATGTATGTATATATATGTATATATATATGTATATATAAGTATAAGTGTATGAATAAGTTGGGGTACTATAGTTGTTTATTAAGCTGAAACGGGCGATTCTGCCCCAGGCTAGACTGTGAGCACTTTGCGTTTATGTTCGCGTTTGTATTTTCATTGTGTTTAGGTTGGGTTTGCGTTAGTGGTTGCGTTTTGATTTGGTTCGTTTTTGCTCTTTCTTGTTTTCGTTTTCGTTTGTGTTTTTTTTCTTTGGGTTTGTGTTTGTATTTGTGTTTGTGGTTGGTTTTGCGTTTGGATTTGGTTTGTTTTCGTTTGCTTTTTTGTTTGTGTTTTTTTTCTTTGGGTTTGTGTTTGTGGTTGGTTTTGCGTTTGGATTTGGTTTATTTTCGTTTGCTGTTTCGTTTTTTTTTCTTTGTGTTCGTATTGGTGTTTGTGGTTGTGGTTGGGTTTGATGTTTTTGTTTTCGTTTGTATTTGTAATTGTGTTAGCGTTATGTTTGCGTTTTGTTGTTTTGGTTTCGGTTGGTTGTGGTTTGGGTGGGCAATGCCGGATTTATGATGATTATTAAACACACAGGTAATGGTCTTTAACAGAAAGGTTTTTTACAGAAGCCAGAGCAGGGCCTGGCCGGGACGGCTAGTATATGTATATATATGTATATATATGTATATATGTATATATATGTATATATATATGTATGTATATATGTATATGTATGTTTATATATATATATATATATATATATATATATATATATATATATATATATATATATATATATATATATATATATAAGATGTAACTAACCTTCTAAGAAAAATAAGCAATGTTTTTAAAGGGGGAGTGGGGTTAGCAGTGATGGCAGCAGTAAGTTCAAGATTGTTCAAATAAGTTAAAAGCCCATTAATTCTAGGACCAGATCAATCGCGTAACCACATCATTATAAGACTGCATAAGTATTTCATGTTAAGAAATTAAGATGTAGATCGGGTGGGTATTTAAAAATATTTTTTGTAAAACTCAAAATAACAACCTTAAAGATAGATGTTTTAATAAAAGCTCGCTCTGTCTCATGTTGTAGGCCTCACGGTCAGCACGACATATGAAAAGTGGGTGGGGTAAAGTAAAAGTAATGTAATGTAACAGCACATTTCTCTTTCGTGCTTTATATTCTTTCAAATCAATTCACCTTTTCTTTTTGTCAATAAAAAATACAAAGAAATACAAATAGATAGAGTCTACGTCAGCTCAAAAGCTTTCTGCCGTTTTTTTTAAGGAAAAAGCAGAGTTCAGTAAAATTAGTAAAAACAAAAATCCAATGCAAACACAAAGGATAATGAAAAAAAAACTCAAACAATAACACAAAGGTAACTGAAAATATCAGCGGAAAATTTCGACTACAAATTGTGCGTTCTGAAAAATTCTAAAATTCGCAGAAATTCTGAATCTAGATCTGCAAAAATAGAAAATCTGCAGAAAAATTGGGCAAAATGAAATCAGCTGAAGAAAATTGCAGCTGAAATGGAAAAATTGGATTTTGGCTAAAAATTGGAAAAGTCACATCCCTCATCAATAATCAGTTATGTAATTGTACTAAATAAGAAATTAAGTGAGAAAAAAAATTTACTTTTTCATAAGCAGAAGCTACTACAGAATATTGAAAACCCTGTGGCATTTCACTGTTTCTGTAACTTGATCGCTCTAATGACTCATATAGCTTACTATCAGTATCACCTTTAACTACTGTTGAGACAAGTGGTCTTGTTACTCCTGCTGCCTTAAAATAGAATGTTAGTTATAAGCTTTAAAAGTTTAGATCCTGTGTATAATATATAATTAATAACACCTTGCTAAATTTCTGAATACAACAAATGCCTTGTTTTTGTTTTTACAGAAACTTAGATAACTATTGGATTTTAAAATATAAATGAAATATTTTAAAATTGTGTAGTTTTGTTGGATGTGGAAGAGGGAAGTGCTTATATCCGTCAATGATAGAGATAGTATGCATCATGCTTAGATCCTCTCATATCTTGTTGCTATATTTAGTTTTATGTCAATGCATAATATTTTTAGAATTTTTTAACATAAGTGTTATTTTTAGAGTTTTTAGGGAGGCTCATGTCATCTCATATACTGTCAAGGAAATAAACAGTTCTTATTTTTTCTCAACCATAGAGGATCATAATAATAGTTACGCCATCAGACATGCCTACCCTTGTCACAGTTGCGTAGCCAGGATTGTCTCATGGGGGGTTCAATTTTTTTTCATCATATATATATATATATATATATATATATATATATATATATATATATATATATATATATATATATATATATATATATATATATATATATATATATATATATATACACATATACATACTAGCTGTATGTCATTGCTTCGTTATGAGGTAAAATAAATTGAAAGTAGTACTCTTAATAAATAAGAAAAAACACACAGTGTGGGCCGACAAAAAATTTTTTTCACTCTAAACAAAAAAACAAACAAAATATATTTACACTACAATAAAAAACAATGAGAGCAACACAATCTGTTTTGATATATAGAATTAGAATAGACAAGTAGAGGTTAATGAGGAGAGTATGAACTTGACGATAGACGATTTGGTGCGAGAGTATTGTGCGCATGTTCAATAAAGTATTTGTGGCGTGAGTGTGACGTGAGCATGACGGGACAATGTACCAATGACGTAAGACGCAGCAGTGAAGTTAGTTGGGGGTTAGCTATAGTAGAAGATGGACGTATTCTTTGATATTGTGCAAATGATCTATAAGTGTGTGTTAATAAAGTTATTGTTATTTCATAAACGAAGTTGTTGACATTGTTAATTAGTGTCTGCATAAAATAAGAGTGATTACTGTCCTCCTTCACAAGTTTAATACTTGCGGTGTTAATAGCAGTATTCAGAATGTAGATACATAGACCAGAACGTATAGAGACAGTATATAAACCCCCCATCACACATACATTGCTTTGTTATGAGGTAAAATAAATTGAAAGCAGTACTCGTAAGAAATAAGAAAAAACACACAGTGTGGGCCAACAACAAAAAATGTATCACTCTAAACAAAACAACAAACAAAATATATTTACACTACAATCAAAAACAATGACAGCAACACAATCTGTTTTGTTAACCTTGTAAAAAAAATTTACATAAAAATTCCTGGGATATTAAGTCAAGCGAAATAAGGGAAATAATCACTCTCTTAATATAAATATGTATATGTCTACACATTTAATTATAAATGTCAAAACAAATCAATAATTACTTTAAAATGTAATAAAGTCGCTTAACACTATTTCTTTTTACAAAAATATGTTGTCTACAATCAGAATTAAATATATTGTCATCATAAATGCTAAAGTATTACAGCATAATGAAAGTTTCTGAAATCAGAGTTGATATAAAACCACGCTTTTCTATGAAATAGAAAAACATTATATAACTAAACCAATGATGAAAACTGTAATAATAAAGCGAACATGCAAGGCAAACTGATGCTGTAAATTACATGTCTGGGGCAAAAAAAAAGTGCAGTTCAGATGATTAATTTTCTTATTAGATACTGCAGTTTGTGTTCTTTAAAGAATATTTTTAACATATTGATTTGATAAGGTATGGGTTAGATCACTGCATTGCTCACACACCTTTTTACTGGTAGTTGCAAAAACAATATTCACAGTTTTATGTTTCAAAAGCTATGATTCTGGCGGCATGGTACTTTGGTACATCATTACGCGTTTTCCCAAATGTACTTAACAGATCAGTTCAGGGTGGGTTTAGGGGGGGGGGGGGGGTTTGTTCAACTTCAATCACCACTGTCCGGTCACCTTAGGTCAACTATCCAACCCAGCGTATACCTAGGTGTGACATTAATGTTGCTGTACACAATAGTGGTGGTTAGGGGGGGAGGGGTGGGGGAATAACTCCAAATCCTGTTAAAATGCCGATTCTGGATAAAAATCCATTTTCAATGACATTTTTCGCCAGTTAAATTTGAGGTTGAGGTGGTGATTTTGGTTTTTGTTTAGAGAAAAAGACAACACTATCAACCTACAGCCCTCAACTGGCCATTTATCTGGTATATCAATAATATCCTCAACTGGATGTGAGAGGATCTAAGCACGTTGTGTATTTTATTTATCTTTTGCCAAAATAAGCACTAGAGTCCACCCATCATCTCTATTTATAGATTAAGTTTGGTTAGTGAGTTTTAAAAAAGCACTTACCCCATGTGTTTTAGCTGCACTAGCAACTTTATGTATAATCTCTTCACAAACAACTGGTCGAGCAGCATCGTGTATCAGAACAACATCGGTATCAAAACAAGCTGAAATGTTAAAATATTAAGTGTCATCCCAAACCCACATTCGCTTTCATGCACAGGCATTCAGAATGAAATCTCATATATTAATAAAGAGAATGTAAAAGACAGTAAAACACGTAATTGAAACACTTTTAATGCCATACTATCAAGGTATTAATTACTTTGTTAACATTATAAACATTCTTAAAAGCATCATAAGGTTAGCAAAAATTTTAAGTCAGTATAATTTTTAAAAATAATGAAGTCTGTTTTAAAAATTATAGCTATATATTTCCTTGTTTCAAATTTCCTGATTTTTAAAGTATTTTACAAAAAAGTGATATTATATAATACAAAGGATTGTTCATTCTTTTGTTCTATTGTGTAAATGGGGTAATCCCAAAAGCTCCAAATACAAATTTCTTTTTTTTTTCTGTTTGTAACTTACCTGCTTCCAGAGCTTTAATACCAGAAAAGATTGATCTATGTCTTGTGTAACTTCCAGTATGAACAGATACTTTAACAAAGCCATAACTTTTTATGAGACCTTTCATGGTTTCAACTTGATCATCATTCACTAAAACTATGATGTGCCGAATCCACAAAAGCCTGAGTTAAGATATGATAAGATTATGACATTTAAAAAGATATTTTCAAAATTTATGATACATTTTTTTCCTCATTTCTGCAGACCAAAATATTCTATGTGCTATAGCTAGGTAAATGTTCAATTTTTACAAAATGGACTTTTAAAAATTATAGCAAAGTTTTTTTTAGTATGCTTTTAAATTCCCGGAAATAAAAATAAAACTTGCTTTCATGAATGAAACTACTGGTGGCTGGAATAAGTAAATAATTTTACAAGTGACCCGGGCTTTTACCTGCCCCTTCTTAACATCATGGAAACCAACAGCCATTGGTAAACAGTTCACTGTTGTAAACAGGCTGATCAGTTAATTGCTTGAGATTAATTATGTTGCATAAACTTGAGTAACAAGATCTGTCACCAACACACAAACAGACATTGTAAACTAAGCTTAGAAAAAGAGGTTTGCTTTATGAGGAAATGTTGAACTATACCTGTGAAAACATTCTATTGTATAGGCAATAATAGGATGTCCCAAGACATTAATAAATTGTTTTGCAGTATGCAGCTTCATACGTTCACTTAATCCTGCAGCTGGAAGAATCACATCTGCTTTTAGGTTTGATCCCATGCTAAAAATGACAACTATATTGAGTTTTTAAAAAATGACAAATGTACTGTAATGCTTGGCCTCTTAGTGCCTAAATTTATTGTGAAATTTGAATAAAAATTGTTTTTTATAATTAAAATTTGTTCTTATATTAAACTAAAATGTCCATCCCAGCGCGTTGCTGTGGGGTTAGAATAAAGTCTGACAAATATATTTGGTTTCATCAATGCATTACCAATCCTTTATTTTTAGAAGCGTGACCTTGTTTTCTAAAACTGAGTTATTTAAATGTAAATAATGCTTGCACTTGGATCATATTTATAGGGCATGGGTTTACTTACAATATGAAAGCCTTGAATGTACGTTTATCACTTATTGTAATATCAACGATAATCACTCACCATCAGGGACGTAGAGGAGTGCCCATGTGAGCCCTCAATTTCACTACTGCAGGGGCACCATGTACGGCCCCTGGCTAGGTTTAATTATTGAATGCAGTGTGCCGCCCTGTTAATATTGTAAGGTGCTCCTTAAAACTAAGGTAGACGCCATAGTGCTCATAGGATGATTATGTCTAGTGAAAGACACTAAAACTCCATCTTATGCATAGCCTATCGTACTGTTTAAAATAAACGCAGGCACTATAACACTCACAGGATAGCCTAGGGCCTCAAATTGCACCCTGCAGGGGTGCCAGAGGAAGTGCTAGATTTGATATTGTCAACGATTATTGTTGTCCATTGTGTCTTAAGTGTATGGCCTTTTTTTAAAAAGGCAAACGTAGGCACCATAATGCTCACAGAGGAGCTCAGTGCCTGTTGAAGTTTTAACAGTGAATATAGTAGTAACCCTTAGATAACCACTCTGGAACTCTGGGTATTGCTGTGTATGGACAAAAATCGCACCCTCCCATAAGAAATTTAAAAAAATTTTTGCAGAAATCTTCTTGGGAGTATTTTCATCAACTCCACAAAGTTTTTTTTTTATATACAGTATATAGAAAAAAAAATCTCACCCTCTCAGACGCCCTTATAAAATTTTAAAAACATTTTTGCAGAAACCTCTCCTGGAATATTCTTATCAACTCCCCAAAGATTCATGGCGATCTGATGAATGAAGTCACACCACAACTGACTTTTATTTTTATATACCTTAAATTGATAAGAATCAAAGTGCGTCATGCCGGGACACTGCCTGCAAATTTGAATTTTTTTTCCACAGAAACCTCCCCAGGAGTATTCAATCAGAAATTGAGATCGAGCTTCTAATAATACACCCAGGGGCTGTACGTGGCGCCTCTGCAGTAGTGTAATCTGGGGCTCCCGAGAGCGCCCCTCTACGTCCCAGACACATGGGTGGTCACCGAAGTGTGCTCTACCTCATTATTTGGGTGCGTGATTAACGTACACTCAAGGTTTTCATGCGGTGGTGTAGGTAAACCCGTGTCCTATTATTTATGATCCAAGCGCAGGCATTGTTTACATTGGTTTGTTTTAAATGCATTACTACACCTTTCCAGAGGCGTAGCGAGGGTGGGCGGGGGGTGCGGACCGCACCGGGTGACACCATTTAGGGGGTGACACTAAGGCAAAAAATAGCAAAATATATACAGATGAATGATAATTTCACTTAATTCAATGATTAATTAGAGTGAATTAAATAGTTTTTTAAGAGCAAAGTAGGCAAATCCCGACACAGGATGTTGACACCATGACGTAAACCTGCTAATGATAAAGCACAGTTTAAAGCAATCACAAAACTATCTGTACTGGGTGATCGCGCAGTTGCACTTTGGGTGCGTGGACAGCAGAGTTCTCTCTAAGCTGTGCGGTTGTGGGGCCATGCAGTAGTTTTGAACCTTTAGTAAAATGCGTATATCCTTGTATAAGACTTTTAGAACACCGCGCACACAAAATACAAGCTGCACACTAACCTATTTCCCTTAGAGGGAATGTTGGTCGTTGAGGGTTTATAGTAGAGAGGTCAAAAAACGTGACGTCTTTTATGATTAAATCAAATTAAAGGAAAAAACATGAAAATATGAAATGAAAATGGCAAACAAACAATAACAATTAACTCAAACTAATATTTAAATAAACATTAGATATGTAGTGGTAGCTCTATAAAAATAGACATTCTTAATGTACAAAAATTGCATCTCACAATAATAATTCTAGAACTGATGTTTATTGAAAGTCAATTAAATTGTTTAAAGGGCAGAATTTGAAGAAAAAAAACGCATGCTTTGTATTAAAACACAAGACAATCGCATTTAATAGCTAACATCAATACATTTCCATACAAATAGAAATTATAGGGAAATGACTAAAAATGTCAAAATAACATTTTCTTAAGATGGCCGCTGCTTTTAAGCAAATTTAGTATCTGGAACATTGTTGTTAAACCTTAATTTCATGACATTTTTATTGATTTAAGCCTTAAATTATGTGGTTTAATATTCAATTAATAAAATTAAAGGTAATCTATCGTTTTAGGTACGTAAAATCGCCCGCGGCTAGTAATGTACAAAAAAGTTAACTCATTGTCAAGGCTTTAATAGAAGTATATTGTGATATATTTGTGTCAAATATTATAGATAAATGAATTATAAACCTAAATCAATGGCCAAATATATCAATATAGGCAAAAAATTATCTTTAAACAGCAGTGTTTGCGAGCAGGATTTGCTATATAAAAAGCGGCCATCTGTAAGTTAGAGTGGCGTCCCCTGAATCTTGCGCTATAAGTTAACTATAAAAAAAATAAACAAGATGGCTGCTATAGTAAATGAGCATGGTTGCATCTGTTGTAAACATTGCTAGTCTTCACTTATTACTGAAAAGTTTTAATTCAATTGTTTAAAAACTAAAAACAGGTACATAAATGAAACAAGGGAACATTTTTGTATTTTTCAAAACATAAATACTCCTCAAAATGTGAAATAATTATTAAAATTTAAGGAGTCACCTGTTTTTCACATTACTAGTCGCGGGCGATTTTACATATCTAAAACGATAGATTACCAAATTAAATTATCTTTAGTGACTTTAGTTTAGGCTTAGTAGGACCTAGTATTTTAGTAGAATATGCAAAAATATAGGCCTATTCATATTTAAAAACGATTTTTAGATTACCCCTAGCTAGTAGCTAGATCTAGATCTAGATTCTAGCTAGACTAGAGATCTTCTTGGACTAACTAAAATAAATATCTAAACTTAAACTAGTTTTATTACTGTTACTAGACTAGATCCTAGCAACTAGATTTAGATCTAGAATCTAGATTTAGATCTAAAAAGTAAATAAATAACTGAAAGCATTAAAGCGACGTAAGAAACGTTGTTTTACATTTTACAAATTTCGACTAGAGAAATCTAGAGATATAGATCTAGATTAGATCTAGAAACTAGTCTCTAGATTCTAGTCTTATTTATTAGGCCTAGATCTATATTATTATGCTCTCGTATGTAAAGTGATTTTATACTGTTAGATCTAGTATAGAACTTAGTAGTATAAAAAGAAAGGCTGTCTAAATGAGTGTGTCTTTACAATTTATTCGCCGCTGGAGATAGATCTAGATCTAATGTAGAATAGATCTAGATTCTAAGTCTCTCTAGATCTAGATCCAGATTTCTAGATCTAAATCCTAGAAGGCTAGAGTAGATAGTGCTAGATTCTATACTAGATTCTCTAGATACATGTGTACTTGGTGTAGTGTGTAGGCTAGGCTAGAGTAGAATCTAGATTCTAAGTAGTGAAAGTACTAAACTCGGCCGAGACTAGAGATAGGTCTAGAATCTAGATTCTACTTCTAATAGTAGATCTAGATCTAGATAGATCTACTAACTACTAACTTCTTACTTACTAAGGCTAACTAATTTAACTAAGGTGAAAAAAGGTCACATTTTAGGAAGATTTGTTTTAAAATTTACAAAAATGTTTCAAAGATTCATTTATGTAGGCCTACCTCTTTTTTAAATTGTATTAAATATTAAAACTTGGTAATCTATCGTTTTAGGTACGTAAAATCGCCCGCGACTAGATCTAGTAATGTGAAAAACAGGTGACTCCTTACATTTTAATAATTATTTCACATTTTGAGGAGGATTTATGTTTTGAAAAATACAAAAATGTTTCATTTATGTACCTGTTTCTAAACAATTGAATTAAAACTTTTCAGTAATAAATGAACACCAGCGATGTTTCCAACAGATGCAACCATACTCATTTACTATAGCAGCCATCTTGTTAAAGTTTTATAGACTTATAGCGCAAGATTCAGGCGGAAGTCACTCTATTTTACAAATGGCTGCTGTTTATAACTATAGGCCTATAGCAAATCTTGCTTGCAGACACTGCTGTTTAAAGTTAATTTCGGGCCTATATTGATATATTTAGCCATTGATTTAGGTTTATTATTCATTTATCTATAATATTTGACACAAACATATCACAATAAACTTCTATTACAGCCTTGACAATGAGGTAACGTTTTCATACATAATAGCCGCGGGCGATTTTACGTACCCAAAACGATAGATTACCTAAAACTTCAGTAGGCCCTAGGCTAATAAATAAAGACTAGCGATGTTTTCATCAGATGCAACCAAACTAATTTATTTACTTTAATTTAGTAGCCATATTTGGCATATTGTTTAACTTTTTTTGGTAAACTTATAGTCCTTGCAAACACGTGACCTAAATCATGTGATACCTACATCCGCCACCACGGTGGTGTACACCGTACATAAACAATCAGCTGTTCGTCAGCGCTGGACGTGTTCACTGTATGTAAAGAACCGCAGGAAAGGAAAAATACTTTTAAAAACTTGAACTCTTAGGAATTGAAGATCCTTATAGTACTTATACTGTTATTGACAGTTTCGTGGATAATATAAATATGTGGCCGAAATTTCTAAATAAAAATACTGTTAGTAATACTGTTTGCGTTTAGAGTTTAAGTAGACGAATCCGATCGAATGCAGTAATATATTTATAATATAGGTTCTCTAGATCTGGTTAATGTAGATTCTAGATTCTCTGTTAAGTACAAGATTTAGTAACAATAGATCTAGATCTAGTACAACCACACTACTGTAACAAACGTGAGACCACTTAACTCCTAAAAAACCTGCACTGCAACAGCTAATATAATTCATGGGTAATAACCACTGCTGTTTTTAGATCTCAGCCAATCTAGGTAGCATGTTATACAATTTAAGACCCTTATAATCCAGCAGTGAAGTGATCAGACACATTAATACTGATGTTCAACCCTCATGATGGCCAGCCCCCACCTTTTTCTAGCCCACAATAAAACCAAAGAGGAGTCAGTACCACTGACCTCCCCTGAAAATTTCTCACCTCTGTGATACCCAGTCCCACAGAGATAGTATCTCTTATATAATTTATGACCCTCAGGGCCCAGCAGAGAGAACAAAGGGGAAAGTTCCACTGCTCTCCCCTCAACATTTCTCACCTCGATGTCATGTTGTGACATAGTTTGTTTGGCCAACTTAAACACTAAATCCAACCTATCCTAAGCTATTACGCACATTAACTCTAATAACTGCACCAACCAGTATAATTGCCACAAATTGCATTTCAATGTTTTAAAAATTATACATCTTAACCAAGACTATTTATAATGATTTCAAAATTTAATAACACTTATCCCATGTAAATCTAAACTTAGTATTATTCTATCCATTTAAACTGACCCTAACTCTTCCATAACAATAAAAGAATCTACCTGTAACACTATTGTAACACAATCCCAACTTAATTTTTTCTATCCATGATGACAAAAAATAGTGATAATAAACAAAGAATGAGATCTAGGAAACAACACAGCTTTGTTTAGCTTTTAAATTTAAAAAAAAAGTAAAACCCAATGATGCCCTAGAACAGAAGGGGTTGAGTTTTTTTTGAGTTTCTACATTCAAGTATGCCTTTATTTTAAGTATCATTAAGTTCTCCATATATTGCTGAAGTTACTGATCTTATAGCCTGCGGACAGAGAGAGAGAAGTATGCACATGGGCTTTTATATATTAGGATATTTATGTATGCGCATATATACATGTATATATATATATATACATGTATATGTATATATACTTTCAGTAATGAACCACAAATTAACTATAAAGAAAAGCATGGGTCACTCAAACAATGTTATCAAGGCTAGTCAATGCATTGAGATACCTCACTCTTTTCTTTACTATTTTTTATTATTTGAAAGAGTTGCGTTATTATTTATTCAGTTAGTCATTTTCTTTTCTTCTTTTTAGTGCAGATATAAAATGCTTGTGTAACCCTCACTCAGTGGGGATGCTTTTACCCACTGAGGTGTTGTGGTTAAGACAGGCTGACCCTGAGATTTAGTACACACTGACACCGACAGTTGTTGTCAAGTACTCGCTTTATTTACTGCATCGAGCCATGACGAGTTCAAAGAGAAAATACCGAAGAAACAAGAAACCAAGAAAACTGTAGCCCTAAAACAAATGTAAATAAAAAGTTACATAATGTAACTTTTTATTTACATTTGTAACATTCATGACAACACCACGTGTAGGCTACAATATACACGGGTACAATAAAATATGTACTGCCAACAAGTACCAATAAGTAGTACTCTAAATAAATACTTATATAAATACTCATCCTAACTAGTGTGCACATGCAGCACTAGCAGGAATACACAAATAAGTATTTTAACAAACATAATTTATATAACTACACTACCTTCATTAGGTCAACATCTTGGTCACCGTGTCCACAGACGGCAGCCTTACGTGTGACTGACACGGCTAGGCACGAAACTACCCACAGTCCCATGTCACATGATATAGGACACAGGTAACATCGCTCACAAGAGCATGAAAAAAAACTACATCAACAGTTCAGTTGCGGTCCCACAGGGGCCGCAACCCAATGGTTAAAACTTCATTCTTCCCCCCCCCCCCCCCCTTGGCTGGTAACCATATGTGTTACACTTGTTATTATAAACTTATAAAATTAGTGTAGCATTTTAAAATTTAACAAGTGATGGAAAAATCTACTAATTACAAGAAAATGTCAAAAAAAAAGTTTTGTTTGAAAAGGTACTAAAATCCCTTTGTAAAAACACTATAAAAAATCTTTCTAAAAGTTAATGTGTAGTTTACCTGATTCTATTGAGTCACAAGACAATTGTAGCCTAAATTTGGAGCAGACAACACAAGGAAGAAAAATCTAAAATCTCAGTTAATTATCCATTTCCTTTTCATTCTGTTCCTTGCTGTTTGCTACTTCTTTAGTTGGCCATTTAATAATTTGAGTCATAGATAGACTAGCCTAGCTAAGTATTTTAAACAAATATTAGTCTTTTAATAGCACAACACCTTGTTTTCATCCTTAGTACCAACCTTTAAGATGTAAACCAAGTTCTTAGTCTTTTCTCCTACATAAGTATTTAAAGTGACACAAAAAAATATTAACTTAAATTTTTATCTTTTTTTCCCCCAGATTTCTACTTGCAGATCCAGACTATCTATATCTAACACAATAATATTATTTTAAAGTATCTGAACTTTAAAAATAAAAAACAATCACAAGTATGCTAGGTTTGGATAAGAACAAGAAAAGTTTTCTCTTAGTGTATGGATCTGAAACGGGTCAGGCAAAAGCTATTGCTGAAGGCATTGCAGAAAAGGCAACACCATTTGGTCTAAATGCTAATTTGTTTTCTCTAGAGCAAACAGGAAAGCAAGTAAGAAATTAAAATTAATACCCTAATATTGTATTTCTTTCTAAAGCTGTAATTATGAAATTGAAGCTTTATTATGTTTAGTTTGTAATTTTTTATTAAAATAAAACTACACTTTTGGATCTGTCAGTGTTGATGATGCAGTTATTTGTAGCTGTGATCTTGGCACATGAAGGAATAGAATTAGTATACTGTTACATGCCCAGCAGGTTTTAACTTTCCAAAATTGTGTGATGGGTACCCATCAGAGTTTGGTGTTATTTTATCTTTCCTTGCACATTCCTGATTCTGCTTTCAATATTTAATAATAAATATTTTGAAAACAATTTGACCTGCTTAGGGGTCATTCGCTTTTTTTCTATGATTTTATTAAAATTTAATTCTCATGTTAGGATTTAGGGATGCATTACGTTTAGAAAATATAAATTCTTTAAAAGATATTGAAGCAAGGACTGAAGATTATATAACAAAAATATGTAAGTTTTATCCCATCACCCACAACATAAGCACATATTATGTAACATTTTGATAGACCTGTCAACCCTCATAATACACAGCCCCCACCCTCTCCACACACACACTCATAAATCTTATATAAAAAGTGCTTGTACGATATTACCCCTCTGTCAATTACCCAAGTTTATTTTTGAGAAACGCATTTAAAAACTGGCTTGCCTATGTTCAAAATCCAAATATATTTGAACATTGGCCGGTTAAAGTTAGGTGCTATCGGCGACTACACGAACTAGCCCTGCTAGTTTGCAAAGTAGCTGAATTCTGGCTTTGAATGTAACGTGTAACATTAAAAAGCTTATAAAATAAAAAATTCTTTATTTGATTAAAATAAAATTAAAAACTGCTTTAATTGTGTGTAAGCCAATGCCGCTGCCGAGAAAATCGGACAAATCAGCTTTTCACTACCCCCTGCATGTTTAACACTGTTTTTTGCATGCTTTTATTGTGTTTATATTAACATGTTGTACATCATTCTGTTCGTAATTGAATAACCTTTTAAACTGTATAAGTTTAATTTCTGTATTATTTCAGACGTTGAAGAAATCGCAGATTGAATCGCATTTTTTACCCCCCGCGGCGACGTGCCAATTAGGGGGGAGGCTTTTTCACCTTTTTAAAAGAGGGGTGTTACTTTGAGTATATAGACTCTTCGAGTTTTCGTACTACAACTGTGAAACTTGGTAGAAGAATAGATTAAATGTTCACGTATAACGCTCAAGGTTCTTGGGGAAAATATGTTAAATACTTTTGGAGATATCGGACCGCAAAGTTGAACTAACTTCCAGATAGCATCTCTATTCACACTGTCAAACGCCTTTTCGAAGTCGACAAATGTCATGTATAAGGGGGATAGCCACTCAAGGGACTGTTCGATAATGATGCGCAGCGTGGCAATGTGGTCAGTACATGACCTGTCTTGACGAAAACCAGCCTGTTCTTGTCTCAGCTTTTTGTCCAAGGCATCTCTAAGTCTCTCTAGGATGATACTTGTCAGCACCTTACTTGGAACTGAAAGAAGCATTATCCCTCTCCAATTGTTGCATTGTGTCAGGTCTCCCTTCTTTGGCAGTTTTATCAGGTATCCCAGTTTCCAGTCAGATGGGATTATCTCTTCTTCCCAAATCTGCTTAAGTAGAGGATGTAGTATGTCTGCTGATATGGCTGGGTCTGCCTTGAGTGCCTCTGGTGGGATGCCGTCCGGGCCAGCTGCTTTGCCATTTTTCATGCTTTTTATTGCTCTTATTGTTTCTAACTTTGTGGGTGGATCTGTACACACATCTAGTAGGTGATTTGCAGGTGGTATATCCGGGATGTTTGATGAGAGAGGATGGTTTAAAATCAAAGTGTTGTACCCATCTGTCTCTCTGTTCTGTGTCACTTGTTAAGATATTTCCTACTTTATCCTTTACTGGTTTGTTGGGATTAATGTTCTTACCTGATAGTGTCCTGGTTACCTCATAGAGCCTCTTCATTTTTCCTTGTCGTGCCGCAGTTTCTGCCTCCTCTATCATCTCCTGTATAAACTGTCTTTTGTCTTCTTTTGCACTTTTCCTGACCATGCGATTTACTTCACAATAATATGTTATGAGGTTTATTTTCTCTTTTTCATCCTTACATTTGTTAATCTTCTGCTTTATCTCTTTTCTATCTTCAATTTTGGCCCATGTCTCTGTTGTGATCCATACTTTTTGTTCATTTTTTCTTCTCCCCAATATGTCAGTGCATGTTGACTTCCATAATTCCTGTACTAGCTGCATCCCGTGCTCCGCCACGGTAAATCTTTTTAAAATATACCAACTTTGGAACAGAACAAAACAAACAAAAACACAACACAAACAAAACACAACCACAACACAACCACATTACAACCACAACACAATCACAACCACAACACAACCACAACACACGGTAAATCTTTTCTAAATGTACCAAGTTGGGAACAGAACAAAACTAAATACAACACAAACGAACGCAAAGAAAAAACAAACACAACACTCAACATAAACTCAATTTAAATGTAATCATAAAGGCATATTGCTCACAGTCTATCCCATAGCGCCAAATCGCGCCCTTTCCGAGCGCCGGCGGAAAATCTCGATTTACACCCTCCCACCTCCCTCAAACTTTCGATTTCCGTCCTCCCCCCCCCCCCCCCCCCCCTCTTGCTATGCCTCTGTTATAAAACCCCTAGCTTTTTCGCAAATAAATTAAAGGCAGTATTTAGAATATCCGTGTTTTACCGACCATATTGCACTTTATAAATTCATGCATTTTTTTCAGTACTTTTAAAAATTTACAATAAAGTTTCATGACTAAAACCATTGCGCACCTAATGAACGTGATGAATTAATATAGTAATGGAGAATAGTTGATTAAAAATTATAATTAGTAAACAGTACATTCAGTGAATAAAATAAATAAGAGATAGCCTTTTATCAATCAATGCTAATAATAATATTCCAACTATAATGTACTCTTACACGTCTGCATAATTTGCATTCACATTTTGCTAATTATATTATTCCAACAATTATTCCGTCTTGCAGATTTTGCATTCACATTTTTAGCGTGAGTTCAATTTATCTTTGAATTACCTCCATTGGCAAAATTACTAAGCAGTTTAATTAGATTTTTCTACCGTACTGTTATTATGTTATTAATATGTATCCACTTTTTCTGGGAATATTAACGAAAACGATATTTGACATTGATCCTTTTAATATGTTTTAGCAATGTGCGTGTATTTAATATTCTCTTTACGTTATGCAAAATTGTACAAACAGTGGAAATTATAAAATAGCTCTATGCCGTTATATAAACAAACCCTACTCTATTACCTATAATAAGACACTGCGGTGCACTGAAAAGCACAGCATGGTGCGATGATTACTTTTATGGTTTCAAAATCTATAGCGATGACAGAAGGACTGACACACGCTCAGCCCGCTTATATTATAGATTCCTAGCCATTTTTGCTCTACTGTTACCTCTACTGTATCCTCTGCCAGGCAGGAGAGTGCTTCATACCTTTTTTTTTTACTGCGCAGTTAAAGTCTTCCTTTATTTTTGGACACCTAAGAAATGTTGTATTGAATTTAAAGTGCGGTTTACCAGCTCGATCCCTGTAGGATTTTAGTTTTAATTTTAGTATTGCAACCACGAGTTGGTGGTCTGAGGCTGCATCTGCACCTCGTTTCGCCCTAACATCCATTAAACTTCTTCTCCACTTTCTGGAAACTGTGATGTGATCAATTTGGTTTGGATTATGTAATACCCCCCTTCAATTAACAAATTAATAAAAATATTTCTAAAAAGATTTTTGTGACTTTTTTCTGTGACTTTATTTCTGTGACTTTTTTTCCGATAAAATTTTTCCACTGTGACTTTTTTTCCTAGCAAAAACTGTGGCTATGTAAAGCCAAATAGTGATCTATAGGGTTGAGTTCTAGCACCCAAGTTTAGGTTCCACAAGTAAGCAATGTGTGGTTTATACATGGTATTTGGTCTCTGTGTAGCATCAATGTCAGAACTGAGTAGAGACCATCACTGTAGTATGTAGATTTAATATAGTTTTAAAAGTATGTTAAATTTAATGGGGTATTTTGAATGGTAGGGACCAAGCCATGACTTCATATACAGATGATTGTTATATTTTGCCAACATACATAATGTAAAGTGTGTGGTTGACTTTCTATTTTCCCTGTCATTCCAGAATTTTAGTCCATTATTTTTTTTTTGTTCTCCTAGAACTTACCATGTACATTGAACAGTAATATTTAAATTTTGGGACCACTTTTGATTTTAAAAGTAAAGTTATGTAAATTGTTGGATAGTTTTCTTTTTACAAGCTTTTATTTGACTCACTGTCACTGTCTGTTGTCAGTCTGTCTAGATCAAAATGCCCAAGCGAAATTGCAGGCATTTCTGACATATACTGTTCGTAGTTGGTACGTGGGTCAAGACATGAAGACAATGCAACATGACATGAAATTTGACTTAATGGAGACAAGCGAGTTGACGAGATTCCTTCCATAGTATTGTTGACATGGAATAAAAACGTGCTTTTTAGATTTAGACCGTAAAAAAAAATAAAAAAAAAAACTTAAGCCTAAAATTAATTTAGAAATTTTATATTTTTAGAATAAATGCTATAAAAGTTGTAAATCCAGAGAACTTGAAAATAATTTGTTGAGTTTAAGGCTACATTTCTATTTATTTTCATCAAGCCTAAGTTATAACCGGATGTTTCACTTTCGTAAGACAAATATTGATTGGCTGTACTGTAACTTAGTGATCGATAACTATTTGTTTACAAAACTTTGCAGATCAAGTTTTTAAATAACAATGCAAATTTAAAACCCCATGACTTAGTTTTCTATTTTTAGCTTACAATGTGTACAATAAAATTAATGTCGGCCTATCCAATAGCAGGATGCCATTGTTTATGTCGCCATTACACGTGAAAACCAAATTGTTTTTGCTTTTTTAAAATTTTTATTTAGTTACCGAAAATATTATAAACATCAAATACATCCAATCTTTAGTAAAGTCCGAAAAAAACCAGACAGGCAGGATTTTATAACCATATTAATTGTAACTACGCTGTGCATGATTTTTAAATGAATTTATACACCTCTCAAATACCTTTGAGACTTTTCTCGCTGGTGTCCATTGGTTGCCTGATTAATTTTTTATGAATTAATTAAAATTTTGTTCAAATTAATAGGCTGTCCCATCAAACGCTTTCGCGCTAGTAGACACGCAGCATCATGTTCAATAGGTGCGCAATGGTTTTTAGTCATGCAACTCTATTGTAAATAAAACATGTAAAGTACTAAAAAAAATTTCATAAAAAAACATTTTAGTAACAAGCTTTTATGTAAAAATGCACTAAAAAGGAGAATATAAATTATACACTACTATTTAAATAACTATAAATAAAAGCGTGGGTCTCTTCCTAAAAATTAGTAAAGGTATCCAATAGATACTACAGTGACCCACGCTTTTCTTTATAGTTATTTAAATAGTAGTCTATACTTTATTTTCTCCTTTTTAGTGCATAATTACATAAAAGCTTGTTATTAAAGCATTTTTTATTTTAAAAAATTTACAAGCTTTTATTTAACTCACTTCCTCGTTTAGATCAAAACGCCAGAGCGATTCAGACACTTCTAACCGGCAGATTTGTTTCAACATTGGCACGTGGGTCAAGACATGAATACAATGCAGCATGACATTAAATTTGACTTTTTTGTTTGCCTGATTAATTTTTTATGAATTAATATTTTGTCCAAATTAGTAGGCTGTCTCATCAAACTATTCTGCTTTATTAGACATGCGTCGTCGCGTTCAATAGGGCATCATCATTTTCAATAGGTGCGCAATGGTTTTAGTCATGTAACTATTGTAAATAAAACATGTAAAGTGCTAAAAAAAATTCATAAAAAAACGTTTTAATAACAAGCTTTTATGTAATACTGCACTAAAAAGTAGAAAATAAATTATACACTACTATTTAAATAATTATAAAGAAAAGCGTTGGTCTCTTCCTAAATATTAGTAAAGGTACCCTATAGATACTAAATTGATAATTAAATAGTAGTGTATAATTTTTATTTTCTACTTTTTAGTGCATTATTACATAAAAGCTTGTTATAAAAAAGTTTTTTATGAATTTTTTTTTATAGTTGTCTCAATCTTTTTTTTTAAAATGTGTATTTATACAATCATCATCATCATCTTTTCTTTGCTGTGTCCAAGACACATGGAGCAGCCACAGAGAGCTCTTTCTGTTTTGCTTGAGTTATAATCTTGTGAATTTAAAAAACATGAACAATTTGATGCATGCAATAAAAAACAATGTGATTGAACAATTTTAAAACTAATTGTACATTATTATTTTCTCTGGACAGTTCAACATAGAAAAAGAAGATTGTATGGTTATAATTATGTCAACAACAGGAGATGGTAATCCACCAGCTAATGCAGAAAAGTTTATGCGCAGATTAAAAAATAGAACGCTCAATAAAGATTATTTAATCCATTTAGGATATGCTCTTTTAGGTGAGTCAATGTACATTTTCTAAATTTGTCTCTGTTTGAAATGCCCAGTTAAACAGATTTTTATTTTATTTTAGGTCTTGGAGATACTAACTACTCAAACTTCTGTCGATGTGCTAAAGATTTAGATAAAAGATTAGAAGAACTTGGTGCCAGAAGATTTTACACTACTGGATTTGCTGATGATGCTGTTGGGTTTGTCTTGTTATCCTTTTCTTAAAAGCAAACATGCAGCATGTTTTTGACTGTGTAGCTCAAACACTATGTTTTTGTGTTATAAAATTAAGTGTGTATAACTTTATTAGACTTTAAGTTAATTCTTTTCCAAACTCTATTTTCAAATACTCTGCTTTGTTTTTTTGGTGTTACAGGCTTGAATTAGTTGCAGACCCATGGCTGGATGGCTTATACCCTGCATTGCTGAAGTTTCTTGGTGTTGATCATATAAAGGACACCAACATAACACAATGTATTAACAAATTGACAATAGAGGCTTCAGATACAGTACAAAGTACTCAAATAACTTATGATGATACCCAAAAATTTGTTTCTCAATCTACTATAAATGAAGATGAAGTCTCAAATTCCATTAAAACTAAGCCTAACAGAACAAATAAAGAAAAAACCTGTATCCCAAACACGCTGGTAAATGGTTCACCTTTATCATCTCCTCATGCTTCACTATCAGGCAAGGATTTGACAGTACCTGTTTTACCTCCGCCATTTTTAGAAGCTGTATTTTCTAATGAAGCTGTAGAGGTAACTGATGTTATTTTAACTTCAACTCACAAACCAGAGTTATATTCCAGGGTAGCACCAACTATTTTTCCTATAATTAACCTTTTGTTTATTTAATACCTACATGTCAATGGTCTTGGTCGCAAAATGAAGTCGGAAAATTTCTGGTTTTTTGCATAAATGAAAAGCTACTATGACTGTGTACAGTAGCTAAAAATTTCAAATGATAATTCAGATATAATCATTGGACTGGGAACTAATCGCCTAATATCTCTGGCAGGGATGTGACTTTTCAGATTTTTAGCGGATATCCAATTTTGCCATTTCAGCTGCTATTTTCTTCTGGTAATTTCATTTTTTCCTAACTTTTCTGTCCATTTTCAATTTTACCGTTTTTTTATGAAGTTTAAAAAGTAGGGGAAAAAAAGGAAATTACCTCCCTTACTTAGGTCAAACACAATCAAATACATACATTTCTTTTCGATTGAACAATTGCGCTAGATCTGACTGCTAGATTGAGATTAAATGTAAGTCAAGATTTAGAATTTCAGCAGATTTCCGAATTTTTCAGAACACACATTTTTTCAGTACAAATTTTCCACTGATATTTTCAGTTTAATATTTATAAAAAACACGGAAGAAAGTGATCTAGGAAAATGCTACTATTCAAATGAAACATAACTTACATCTCTCAAGCCTACATGTGCTGTAGTCTAGCTATAGCCTAATTTATCTATTGGTATTTTAACTCGCCCAAATCTACAGTTTCTCTGCTTCTAATTCTATTTTATTTTGCAACCTAAAATTAATGTTGCAAAAATTTCAAAAGGTGATTATGAAGACTAGACTGACCCGCCCCTCCTTGTAGCAACAGTGGCTCTTGTAACCTCACTATGACCCTAAGTATGTGTTTGGTACTGCTTGTTTGGGGAAAATTAAAAATAATGTCACAGTCAATCTCAATTTTCCTACTGATTTAAAAGCTAATGTGAACTCAATGTGACCCCCACTGTTTCTTGTTTGTGGAAGAAAAAATATGAAATTGACTGCTTTTAATAAAAGGGTTGGGTCCGTAATTTTGTGATGAGGGGGAGAGGGGTTTAGATAGTGTGACGTCATACTGTTGCATTTTTAAAAAAAAGTAATGTTAGAAACTGAATTTTAACCATTATTTTGCGTTTTAGAAAATTGTTTTAATAAGTTATAATAGAAATTGATTAAAATACCTTATGTTGGTCAAGCTCAGTTAATACTTTAGAAAAAAATGAATGTTTAAAAAAAATCAAATGCACTTTTAAGGAGAGGGGAGGAGGCTGTTGTTGGCTGAGATTTGACGTCATTTTAAGGTGGAGGCTGGCTTGTTGTCACATGTGAAGGAGAGGTAAAAACGTCCAATAAATAGTGCAACGTCATTTATGGATAACTCCTAACAAACTAAAGCAATTCCTTATAAATAACAATGTGGCTTGGCTATTAAAATAGTTAATTTTGGTTCAAATGTTTTTACAAGTATTAATTCCAAAACACTTTTTAAAATAAGCATCAGACCCTTTCTAATTTCAGCTAATCTGGTCGATTTCATGTGCCATCACATGAATTAAAACTTTCAAATTACAATTAATCTAAATATAGTCTCTTTACAGGTAAAGGCTTACATTTTTACCATGCTTATCTTTAAAAGAATATAAATTATAAAGAAAAATTTCAAATTGAAAACAAGAGTACAACTAGATCAGTACATTTTAAATTAGCTTTATGTTAAAATAAAACTTAATTGCCACTTTTGTTACATTGTAAAATTAAATTTAAAAAAAAAGTTTTTTATAAGGTAAACATTTAATTGCAATTAGACAAAACTTTCAGTGTGATTTTAGAGTTACAGAAACTTCTTTTATTTTAATTATTAGCTATAATAAACAATTAGTTAGCACAGTAACAGTGTGAGACTGCTTTAATTGTGATGAAAAATATAAAAAACATTGAGTTCTTGGACCAAATAAAATTTCCTATTTTTTTGTCATGGTCTGGTCACATCCTTGTTTTGGCTTTTAAAATCTTGGCGCAAAACGAATGGTTGTGCATATCTGTCAATCTGCTTACTATTATGTAAGATAACCCATTATTTATAGGCAACCTCAAAGGGGTCAGCATAGTCGAGTCTGTAAAAGCTCATGGTTGCTTAACTGAAAAGTCTCGAGTTTGAACCCTTGGGCAGATGAGGCTCGTTAGCTGAGGACAGCCACTCTTCTAGGAGAGACAACTCCAAAATCAAACAACTGCTGCCTTGTAGTTTGTTCTTGGTTGGACAAAGGCTATGGAAGCAAATCCAAAACGAAAAGCAGGCTGAAATTGGAGTCAATGACCTCAACGGCGCATATCCAGTTGACACTTATCCTGAATTGTGATGGAGCCGTGGTTGAGTCAGCAAGAGATCATGGTTGATAAATTTCTAAAAAGTCTTGAGTTCAAACCCTCTGGCAGATAAGGCTCGATCCCCCATTACAACACTCTTCACTAGGTCCTCCATTACAACACTCTTCACTAGGTCCTCCATTACAACAATCTTCACTAGGTCCCCCATTACAACACTATTCACAAGGTCCTCCATTACAACACAATTCACAAGGTCCTACATTACAACACTCTTCACTAGGTCCTCCTTTAAAACAATTAGTTCTTTCCTTATAACATTCTTTACAAGGGCTTGACTTGCAACACTTAGGGGGTGAGTGCATGTGGATACATGTACTAAACACATGTACATCTAGCCAAGAAGAAGATAGGCTTATTGTGCATGTGTACTAGATAATCCAAGGGTAAAAGTCATTTTAGTAAACCCTGGAAAATAACTCCAGGCTGAAGAGTTACTTTTTTAAATTATTAATCAAAAATAATTAAATGTGAAAATTTTAAAAAGAAGTAGTTTTCTTCTTAGTTTTTAGTGTTGGAAGGGATCGAGCCTTATCTGCCAGAGGGTTTGAATTTGAGACTTTTTTCGAATTTATCAACCATGAGCTTTTTGCCAAATCGACCACGCCTCCAACACAATTAAGGATACGTGTCAACTGGTTATGAGCCATTGAGGCCATTGAAATAGTTTTCTAATTTGGAAGGTTTGTAATCACAAAGGACCTAGTTTTACATGCTTTTTATTTAACTTCCTCTGTCGTCTTGGCGGAGTAATAGCAAATGAAAAATTCAACCACTTCTAGAACCCCTTTATTTCAATATAGGACAGCACAGTAGAGTGTGATCTCTAACCTAAGTGTCTCGAGTTCAGATCCTGCGAACTTGAGATGTTAAGCGTCCATCCAGATCTGATCTAATAATAAACACTACGGAAAATATTAAATCCATATATCACTTAATAGGCACACAAAACGTTATTGAAATAATAACTTACTAGTGAGTTTTGAGAGGACTATTTTTTTGTAGACATCCACATCTTGGGAGGGGGTTTCATAAGTCCGAAATTTCAATGGATGTTATAAACTATTGCCCCCTAGTAGTGCAACACTTAAAAACACAAATATTCATTGTGTATTCATTTTTTCTTTAGTCATAGGTTCTTCTTGATATTGTGTATCATATATTTATGCTACTTGTATATAAATGCAGTGGTACTTAAATACAGCTAAAAGGGGAAAGTATTATTTATTTGGTTCCCAGAAAAAAGCGCAAACAGAAAAGTGCGCAACCAGAAAAAACACAACGAAAAATGTGCAAAGGAGAAATTTAGCACAAAGACCTATATGGACCTAATGTCTATTATTTTCTTGGTCAATAACTATTCAACTACTATTCTCGTATTAAATAAACATAAAACTATCCTTCATATCAACATAACACGAAGTATCTCTCACATTCTCCCTAGTCCGAACTACCTAGCTTGCATACCATAACAACCCGTTCCTATGCCAAAACTTCACTCTCTTTTATCCGCTTCATCAAACATGCATTCGTCATATCTCTCATTTAATACAAGAATCGTAGTTGAATAAATATTGACCAAGAAAATAACAGGCATTGTGTTAAGCGATTATCGCCTGTATCGTGGTGATGGGAATGCACATGGTAGTGGTATGCTTTAAATGGTAGTAGATGACGTGATCAAACACGACACTCTCACAGCAACCCTAACAGTCATGTATAAATGTGTAATCTAGTCCATATAGGTCTTTGTGCTAAATTTCTCTTTTGCACATTTTTCGTTGTTTTTTCTGCGCTTTTTTCTGTTTGAGCTTTTTTCTGTTTGCGTTTTTTTCCGTTTGCGCTTTTTTCTGGTCACCTATTTATTTATAACTGAATGACCATACTGTTTTTCAATTAACCCATACTTTCATTTATAGTTATACAAATATTCTTCTTTTTAGTTCATAAATAAGTGCTTGTTATTATACATTCTTAGTATATTTTTTATCATAAAAGTAATAATCTAAATATTATTTTCTGTTGAAATCTTCTAGAATTATTAGCAAGTATAGTTGGTGTTAGAGCTAAGACTACGTTTTATGGGTTGGAGAAAGTTTAAATTGTGTTCAAGATGTGGGTGTAGTTTTAAATCAGAATTAAAGTTAAAGATGGTGTTGATTCAAACATAGTATTTTCTCTGGAACTAGCTTTTGATTTTATACTAATACAATTGAATGTTCACTTATGTTTGAATTCCAGCTTTCTACATTAAAGTACCAGAATGGTTGCAAAATGCCTTGTGCTGCATCAAGTATTTTTCATGCTCCTGTTATAACTGCTAAAGTTCTTACAAATTCAAAAGCCTTGAAGAAAACATTGCTGCTACAATTGAACATCAAAGTAAGAATTAAATAACTTTTTATAAATAAATCAGGTACTGTATAATACATTATTTAAAAATGGATTATTCAGTGGTATAGTGTTTTTTAAAATGGATTTTTAAATATATATATATATATATATATATATATATATGTGCATGTATGTATGTTTATGTATATATGTGTGTATTTGTATATGTATGTGTGTATATGTTTATTTATGTATATATATGTATAGATATGTGCATGTATGCACATATACTTGTAGATAGGTAGATTAAGCACTAATTATTTTGAAATTAAGTGATGCATCGTATTTTTAGAACGCTGATTTTTCTTATGCCCCTGGTGATGCAGTTTCTATCATTTGTCCCAACAACTCAAGTGAGGTTGATCTTCTTTTAGAAAGGTATTTGTTGCATAGTTTCTCTGTTATTGTAATAATTTTTAGAGAAATTAAATTGTATGTAGGCCTACAAGTGATAATGTTATTAATTAAATTTCTTTTTTGTTTCGTTTAGAATTGGGATGGTTAATCATGCAGATGAAAAATTGACACTTTCTGTTATACCAAATACTTCAAAGCTGCGAGCTGCTGTACCATCTCATATACATGTCACTTCTACTTTAAGGCACATTTTTACAACTTGCTTAAATATTCGAGAACCCCCTAGCAAGGTATTGTTTGTTTTTTTTTTGTTTTTTTTTTTTTTTTTAATTCTACATACCTCATCAGAATACCTTTATTTTAGTGCTAATTAGCAGAAAACACAAACATGCATTGGCCTTGAACTGAGGCCTCTATTTTCAATGTATAGGAAAATGAGATATTTCCAATGTTTGAATCCACAGAAGATCTTTACCTTTAATGGGTTTACTAAATATTATTTAAATTATTACCGATTCTACATAGTTGTTACAGCTAGAGACAATGTATCCTGCAGTTATGAAGTGAGAGGGTTTACACGACCATCCTGTTCCTCTCTAACCATTCAGGAGTTGATCATTGAGTTCCGACTTAAAGTACAATGACATCAACACAGACAAATGACTGGACAGGATGACATTAGTTCACTTTACTGTTTATTGCACTAAAAGAATAAATATGACAATTTAAACAAACAATACTATGACGTGACTACATTACGACATCACCCAGCTTCAACGAATCTACACTGAAATGTCACATTCTTGCGTACTGTGTCATACAGCCACAATCTTTATTTTATATTAAATCTTTTCACAACACACATACTCTCGTACCCTATCATTCACATCATAACACTAGTCCATACCATAAAATATTAAGACCAAACTGATTTAGGGCATGAATGAATTGTTTTAAAACGTTTGGCATCTCAGTTAATGGACATCAAGGTTGCAAGCCGAACAGTTTTATTTAACTTTTGCACATATGCTAGTCCTTATGATTTAGATTATTCATTTTTATCTATTAACCCTTTGAGCCCTGGCTTCCCTGACCTAATTTCTCCCATTTCCTGAGCTCCCAGGGCCAAACCAATTTTCACTTATCTGCTTCTAACTTTGCCTATAACTTTTGAACCGTTTAAGATAATCAAGCCAAATTTGGTATCCAGACTCAGGATCAAACAACAATGAAGCAAGATTCTGAAATTCTTTTTTTTTTACAATGTTTGAACAGAACAATGTATATAAATCGAACACATAATTATTGTTTTGATAGAACATAGAAGAAACCAATTCACATTTAGTAATTGTTTTGTTATTATTGATACCTGGCCATACTAGTTCATCGCCAGTAGTCCACTTTTGTGTGATAACTTTCAAAACAGTTATCACTGCCGGACCCGATGCAAAGAAAAACTTCGCATGTTTTGCACCAGTAAACAGGTTTTTTTTTCCGTTTCGGCAAGTCTTTGTCATTGGCACCACGTGCATCTGACCGTACTGGAACAGTTTCATTGTCACTGTCAATTTCAATGGCACTGTGTTCAGTCTCAAATTCAACGTCACTATCATCACAATATAGACCAGGAATATTATCTTCTTCAACAGAATCAATAAGTAGTTGTATTGCTGGAGATGCTGTCATTCTACTTCTTTTGTTGATATTTCGGTCTTTTGCTTCATCTTTTGCACCAACTTTTTGTGATGAAGTCGACGGCTGTGGCTCAGCTTTTTGTTTCGGCGGCATTGCTACGGAATGTAAATACTTTCACTTTTCCTAAAAATCAATTTTTAAAATCATAATTCCGCACTCAAAAGACAGATGCAAAGTTTTAGTCAGTCTTCCGCTTATTATATTTAATTAGACGGTATACCGGCCGCTAGGAATATGACGCTAGATCATCGGGCCAGAAAACCGGCTTTTCGGGCGTATATGCCTAATGTTGAAGCTGGTATACCGGCCTGGCGGGCTCAAAGGGTTAACTTTTTTAATTTAATTTATTTACCATGAACTAATTCATTATGAAAATTATGTAATGTTGAAACATTTTAATTTGAACTTAAAATTATTTATCTTTAATTAATCATTGAGCTAATAAAAAAAAATTCTGTTAATTTTGTGCCTTGGTCACTCCCCTAAATGGTACAACCAGTACAATCCACAACCTCCAGACCCCCCCCCCCCCCCTCCTTGCAATGCTCTCAAATATTCACGAGGTTACAAATCTATAATATCCAAAACCAAAAGATATTGTACCATATATGAAAACGTTTAATTTATTATGGCACATTTGGAATAACATTGAGCATTAATTACCAAACAGGGCAGGGCAGCATAGTTCACTGCATTACACAGGGGAGCATAATTTAATTTAAGGGGTAAGGGAACAGTTCACTGATTAGGCCAAGGCAGCATAG